ATTTTTAGATTTTTTTTTTCCCCCAAAAAAAACTCAAGCACTTTTTTTCATACAATTTGACCCATTTAATTATTGTTAATAAAGTGAAAGAAACTTGTAAGTAAAGGATAAGGTAAGGATTCTTGTAATGAAAAAGTTGGAATATTTGTGAAAATTATTCTGTAAAAAAACCCTTCGCAAATTATTTTGCACCTATAAACTTTATTGAATGACAAATTAATTCATTAAGTTAAAGCAGTTCATGTACACTGACATATTTACACAGAGAATTATTAAAAGTTAGAAATAATGAGATTATGATACTGAATCTGTTATCATAATGAAATCTTTGGATAATGCTGCTAACATTCCACATTAATTTACTTAAAATTTCATCAAATCGATAGAACTTAATTGCAGCAATTTAAAATCTTATAATTTTTAATGAAAATTTTTAAATGTGTATAATTTATGTATTTAGTAATGAGAAATTCAAGCTTGCATATGTTTCAATCTGAAAACTTATTTACTTCACACTGTATCATATCTTTTACAAATATAAATTTTATTATTTAACTAATTTAAAAGAGTTTTGTAAATAATTTCATGTATAGAAAGGTACCGTTGGTATGACATTTTCTTTTTAACGTTAATGCATTATCTGGAAACAAAGATTCTTTTGTTTAATAAGCAATGTTTTTATTTTATTCCAAACATTTCAATGTTCATTCAAATGTAAGATAAATGGAAGAAAACTAAGTCAATGCAACTTTTCATTGTGAAACGCAAATAGTAAGAAACTCCATAATTGTCGGGTATATTTCTACATTTTTCTCATAATTTGTTCAATTATTTTACATTTATTGTACTGTACAAAGCATATACTCTTATAAATTATATTACTTTAAAATAAAACCAAAAAAAAAGTATGAACTATGAGCTTTAAACATCTAGTGTAACATCCGTCCCCCCAAAAATGTAACATCCGTCCCCCTGATACATTTCATTTTTGGATTATCTGACAAGAAATATACATAAGAAAGTCCTATAATTTCTACTGGTTTATAAGAAATGAGTTTGCATATTTGATTTAAGTATGATTTGGTGTACCTATCCTTGTTTTATTTCTCTCTGTTTCTAACATGTTTGAAAATTTCATTTTGTATGAAAAATACTGAAAATTTGAAAGCAAATATTTTTATATCTAAGATGAATTTTCTGGATTTTTTTTGTAACATTAATCAGAACACATAATATTTTAATAAAATAAAGAGAAATAATACAATTTTTATTATAAACTGTAAGATATTCAGACTTTCAGTATATCTTTGTAACATCCGTCCCCTACCCACACAGTCCGCAAGAGATGTAATATTTTGAAAAAGGTATCCAAAAAGTTATCCTTTCTTTCCAAAAATATTGTCATAGACACCCTAAGGTACTTAAAAAGAGCAAATATTGTCTTGTATGTTTAACTTTATTTTTTGACTTAGATGCTAACACAATTGGCCCATTTACTGTGCAGCAGGCAATCTGACAATCACCACTTGATTTCTGTCCATTTACCATACTAGACCTTAACCTCTTTATATCTTATCATTCATGCATTATGATACTTGTTTTACGAAAAATAAAATTAAAAAAAATCTGCATTTGTTTTAAATAAAAATCTTTGAAAATAAGGGCTTCTTCACTGTTATGGCGCTTAAATGTTTGAAGATGCCATCCTAGACATTGATTTTTTGCATTCATTTAATCTTTGCAAAATTTAATTCATGTATTTTTTCCCAATTTTTAACAAAGCATCAGTGAAATTCCCAATTCCATTGGTATGGGTAATGTTCCCAAAATCCTGGAGAATAAAAACCTGTATCTATTTACTCAGTCAGTAATATTTTTATTTATTAATAAATTATATAAAACTTACAAAGGTAAGATTTACATTATTGGGATTTTTTTCCTGTGGATTGGGAAAATAATATGGGTGTAACGGTTTAGCGGTATACCAATATATTGCAATATGAAAAAATAAATTTTGTACCGCGGTACAATTTTTGGAAAACTGGTATTTTATAAAAATCATAATATTCAATAAATTACCTTCTAATTTCATACAAATTTTGCATAAAATCTTTAATTGGCAATTTTTATTGGCACCAACATAAGATAATATCCTTCAACTAGTACACTTAAAAGTCAATAAGCAGCCGCGTAATTTACATTAGCGGCCCAGATATGAAACGTCACAGGCCACTAGTTTTGTTTTATATCAAATTGTTATTGTGTGACACTTTACTTTCTATTTAGTCCTTAGGAAATACATTTTTATTAAGTTTCTACTAAGAATATTAATACATATAATAATAATATATAATGATGTTTCTCCATCTTTACTTTAAAACATATACACGACAATATGTATTGTAGTATATTGCAATATGCTTTGGCAAAATGGCAATATATTGCAATACGGTTTTTGCCGTATTGTTATACCCCTAGAAAATAATATCATATTTTCAATTGGGAATATGACCGAATATCGGCGATAAAATGAGCCAAAAAATTCCCTGAGATAAAACATGTTTTTCTAGATCAGTTCATTGCGCCAAGCACTTTTTCACATCTCCATATGTCGTCAAACTTCTCCCTGATAGGAGCTGAGGGAGAAGTCACTTCCCCATAAAATTTTGGTCTAGCTAGACCCCTGTGTATACTAAAGAAAACCATCCCCCTATACCTGGGAAGAAGTCTATGTTGTATTTTATAAGTGAAAACTTTCACACATTTAAAAATTTGCAAAAATTATCACAATTTTTAGAATTTTTATGAAATTAATCCTTATTTTGTAAAATTTACAGTTATCCTGATGATATGTTTTCCTCTTGTTGATTCATAACTCATTATGAGACTTTAAAGGAATGTCCTCCACCTGTTTGTAACAAATGACACAATTGATAAGTATGTGATGTTAAAATAATGTCCTCCATCTATCCATCTACCATAATGTGATGATGTGTTAACCTGCAACAGTGAGGTTGTTACCTTAATGGTCAAGGTCACACTTAAATGGTCAAATAAAAAAAAAATCTACATTATTTTTAGTTTTTCTAGTAAATATTATATATAAATATCAGTGATCATACTGTTAGGAACTGAGTAAGATAAATAGTTTGGTTCTATATCTGTATATAAAGTTAAAAGAAGATGGCATTTATGATTATGCTCAAAGATTTTTTCTTTGTGTTTTAGATAACTTAATATAAATCAGCTTCATTTAGTGCTAAATTTTATACAGAGTTTTGCTCTTGAAAAAACATTTTTTTTAAAAGGTATCATATCTTTGATACTATAGATCTTAGTGACGCACATAGTTCATATACTCACAATTTCACCAAAAACAAACACAAATATCATCTCAATATGTAATATATAATTACAGATGCCATTAATGAAGCTTCATAGATCACATAGTAAAGATTCATCCCATGAAGAGTCCAAGTACAGGCGTAGGAAACGTAGACGCAGTCGTGACAGAAGTGATTCAAGAAGGTATGTAAAGCTGTAATTAAAATTTTAAACTTAATATTTTAAACATTCGGACATTCAGAGGCAATTCACATCAAACTTTTCTGATTCAAAAGTGAAGCCAGGAAACCAGATTTAGCTATTTCCATTTACTTGTTTCAGTGTGGCCATATTGTGTGGTATAATTATCATAATGTGACATCATACAGGGCTTTTTTTTCTTCTATAACAATAACAGGGGCCGATATTATAAGGCCCCTTTACAATTCAAAATTGCACCTTTTTTCACAAAGCAGCGAAAAAAAATTCACAATTTCTAAAGAGATTTCACAAAATATTGGGACTTAGTCTTCAAAATACATTGTTTACCTTCCGGTAAAACTTTATTTACACCAATAGCAATAACACAGAAATAGTTTTAATGAAGTTAAATTGTTTTTGCTCATGTTAAAGTACAATTGGGAATGAGACCAAATATCAGCTATAGAATAAGCCAAAAAAAAATCCTTGCCAAGGTGCCTGTTCATGTCTCTGCTTTAATTTTTAGCTCGACTATTCGATAAGAATAAGTAGAGCTATTGTAGTCACCCGAGCGTCGGTGTAACCACTTATGTTAAAGTTTTTGTAATAGTTCAAATATTTTCAAAGTCCATTGACATATGGCTTTGAAACTTTGCACACTTGTTCACCATCATGACCCCAACCTGTAGACAGGAGAAGGTAACTCTATCAAGCATTTTGACAGAATTATGCCCCTTTTTCGACTTAGAATTTATGTTAAAGTTTTTGTAATAGTTCAAATATTTTCAAAGTCCATTGACATATGGCTTTGAAACTTTGCACACTTGTTCACCATCATGACCCCAACCTGTAGACAGGAGGAGGTAACTCTATCAAGCATTTTGACAGAATTATGTCCCTTTTTTCGACTTAGAATTTACGTTAAAGTTTTTGTAATAGTTCAAATATTTTCAAAGTCCATTGACATATGGCTTTGAAACTTTGCACACTTGTTCACCATCATGACCCCAACCTGTAAACAGGAGGAGGTAACTGTATCAAGCATTTTTTTTACTATCAAGCACTAAGAATAGTCGAGCGTTGCTGTCCTACCGACAGCTCTTGTTTCATTAGATGTCTTTCTACCTTCTTCAGTAAAAATTATATAAATGATATGTTGTGTATATTTAAGTTATGATGGACATAAACGAAGGAGATCTAGGGATAGAGACGGGTACAGGGAAGATTATAGTCGTGATAGGTCCACACATTGTTCATATCGGGAACGGTCAAGAAGTCCCGAACGTTCTGATCGTTACAGTCGTAGAGACAGCTACAGTCGTCGACACTATGACAGCGATCACAGCAGCCATTATCATTCCCGACCAAGTAGTCATAGTTCCAGTAGGAGGCGCCACAAACATCGGAAACACAGGAGGCGGAGCTACAGGCATCGTAGGCGGTCTTCTTATGGTTCATCTAGTCAGGTTTGTACAGTTTTTTGTTTCCTTTCTAAGACTGAGCTCATGTGCATTAGTAAGGCAGTATCCACATATTTCTCTGAAAACTTAAACATGAAATCTGACTATGTTTGTGCTTGGTAAAAATTTACACATCTGGTTAGAAATACAAATGTGTCTAATAAGTTTCTCAATTATTTCCCAGAAAATTACAGTTTTGCTTTTTTGGATCCAATCACTTATGTGATTATGTCTCACCTTAGCATATTTTTGACTGTTTGATTTTAGCTTTCCTGTTTGGGTATAAAATTTTAAGATCACTAAGACAGCCCCAAAACTAATCTATCCACTTTTGTCATTCAGAGATTTTTCTTGGTTTGCTTTGGGTCTTGTGAAGTACATAATTACTAACATTGATCAGGTTGTGGAGATAAAACATCATTGTTGGTTACACTTCTTGGTCTTCAGTGGTTACATATTTTCTTAGATTATCACTATCAAAATGTAGTCTGTAACATTTGACTCAAATGTGCAGTTATTCGCAGTTATCCCCCCTCTCTTTATTCTACAGCTTCCCCTAGCCGAAAAACAAGCTTTAGTTTTAGCCTGAAAAATGTTCCCTAAAAATGCTACTGTGGCACATTTTTCACCAGAGCAAGTGACTGAGATCAGCCTGTTGATTAATTTAATGGACTGAAAGACAAAAAGCTCTCGTTATAAAATGGCCTCCGCAGTGTACCTTTTATGTAAAATGTTTGGTTATGTTCATTTGCATTCTCAGTTTTCAGGTTTTCCCCTTTTCTGACCTATCCCTCTAAATCAGAAAGCCACACCTATTTTGTTTTGAAAATTCATTTGGGGGTGGGGGGGAATCACTGATGTCAGGAGAATGGATACTGCCTTGTTTTTGTGACATGAAATCTAAATTGTTATCTTTTAGTGTGATTTGATATTCTGTTTGGCCATTTGTCTTTTATTTTTCCAGCTAACTGACCGGGTGAGTACAGGCCTGTTTCTCTAATAAATAATATATGTATTTGCAAGTTTGAGTACAACTTTTGCAAATTGCTGAAAACCGGAATTGTAAACACTTTGTCACCAGAGTAGAGTCAGGCCAGCCTGCAGTCCTTCATAGCTTTGCTGCCTGACCAGGCTCTATACTGTTGGCTGCCCAACTTCCAAATTTCTCATTGTGACATCCCTAAAATTTATTAATAGACTATTTCATTATGGAAGTTGGACAAGTCCATTCAGCAAGTGGAGGGTGTAATCACATGAATGTCATGAACATGAATGTCAGAATGTCCTCCAGTTAAGGATATTCTGTTGTGTATACAAGTATTTTGTACATATTTGATGGTAACAAAGTGTAAAAGAAGTAATATAATAATAGGCAGTGTTTCTAATGTAAAGCTTTTGCAGCAAATGGTAAAAACATTGAAATACATATAATGTACATAATATATTCAAACAAAGCATAATGAAAAAAAGTTTTAAAAAAAATTGTTTGAAGGAAAAAAATCAAACAGTGACTGATAATGTTATAGAAATGGTCACTTGTTTGATTTATATTTCTATGGCAAACTGAGTTATGTTGATCAAAACTAGTAAATGATAGTGTTATTTTTTCTAAACATAAAAATCAAGGTGTTTTCAAAAAAGTAAAAATTTACAGGTAGGTATGAAAAAAAAATCACTGGAAAGATGTCTTAAAAGAGAGGAATATCTAAATTTACTTAGAACTCGTAAAAAGGTTAAAAAATGTGGAGGTTGACTTAATAAATAGTGATTTATTTATAAATGTTCAGGTAGTGACAATAAACAGGGGTAAAAACATGACAAAATATAAACCATAACAAAAACATGGGGAAAACAGGAGTAAGCCATGAAAAACCATGAATGATATGTTTATGAACATTAAAGTAGTGATTAATCTATGAAAAAACCATGGCAAAACCATGAAAAAACAACACAACAAAACAAAACCATGAAAGCAAAAATATTCCAAGATAATGACAAAATATTACAAAATTGTGACAAAAATATGACTAAAACTTAAAAAAAAACATGAATGAAATACATGGCAAGAACCATGACAAAATTGACAACATCCATGACGAAACATTAAAAAGACATGACATAAACCTTTGTTAGATTGCAATCATGGAATATTGTTGATTTTTAAGTCATAAAAATGTTGCATGAATTTAAAGGACCCAAGAGCTTGTACCTTCTCATCACCTTTTAAAGTCTTTGTTTCTGGTAGAATTGTTTGAAGTTTTTATAGCATCTTCATAATCTTATTTACTACACTAACTATTCTCTTGAACTTTACACATTTTCTCTCATGAAATTATTATAGGTCACTGACATTGTCATTGAGGCCCACAGAATTGTAATCTTCGAAATTAGCACTCGCCCGATCACCCTGGCGAGTATATATTAAATTCGGGCGACCAAAAAATCCAATTTTGCTCGCCTGCCTGGGGAGTAAAATTTCCGATCGCGAAATTCATTATAGTGGTGTTCACCTGCACACTTTTTACTACGTCACTACTGTTTCTTGGCTTACTTACTTTAGCCTTGTAAAGCGAGTAATTTATTGGGAACCAACTTTGTTTATGTTCCGTTTTCCATTGTCAAACGACAAGTATCGTATCGTAGTAACAGTGAAAAATGATTTTCATGTACAGCAGGGAATAACAATAAAATAAATTATGACACAAGACTTATGATTTCCTTTTGTTTCTTTTATTTACCTTCAGCATTAAAGATAAGAAAAAAACATCAAAATTTGAAAAATTTATTCGGGCTAATAAAGTTGGTTTCGGGCGAGTAACTTCTCAAATGTTACTGGCCCGAATGGCCAGTAACTTCAAAATGTTAATTTCGAAGACTGGAATTGTCCCTTAAAAATCCTTTTATCAAGATATTTAACATTGGTTAAACCAATATTGTATAATATCATAGTCTAGAAAACTTTGAAAAGACAAAATATTACAAATGTTTATTTTCTGAATAAAAAATTATCCGGAATCATTAAATTCCCAAGGTAGATAACTTACATTAAATTATATTCTGTATAAATTTGGGACTACTCTCCCTTTGTCATAGCAAACTTCTGGATTTTGAAGAGCGTGAATTGAGGCTATCCCTGTTGTATGATGTGGGGACATTTGTATAATTCTGGTATTTAGTTAACTATGACCTTTTCTACACTGGTGCTAAACTATCTACAGTGTGTAACCACACACGCACATTCCTGCATATAGTTTATGTTATATTTTGTCTAGTAAAGTATTCTTTAAGTGTTTTGGTATGTATATTATACTCAATACAGAGTTGATACATTCATGCTTTTATAATGTTAAACTTCCACTCAGTACTTCCGTAGCACTATTTTTTTCTTCATCATTTTGATTTACTACTGCACTATTTTACTGGAGCAATAAAAAAACTACTGGCAAAAACGATTTTATATGATGCTATTGAAAGTTTATTTATTTGTTTACATTTATCTGAATTCTGATGGATTTAGTTTGGAGCTTGAGCTTGGCTCAGTTAATATAAATCATATAAATACGGGGAACCAGGCAATAGGAAAATGTTGTGTTTTGGCATAGGGTATGATTTTGGTTGATGTTTGATTGAGATAGGAGATAAGAATACAGGAACCAGCTGTGTGTTCTAAGGAAGCTGTGACCCGGCTGCACATGTAGATTATACTGAAGTATTTTGATTGGTTTACAGCTGGTTTTGGGTATATACATGTGTTTAGAGCGCAATGATACTGTGCCAGGAGGCTTACCTGTACACGGAGGAAGTGTATGCCTGTCTGTCTAGCAGGCAATAACAAGAATATCTTGACTGGAATGTTCTAACTTTGTGTAGCAAATACAAAGTGATTAATGGAATATTACTCACAAAAGTTTTTGGAAAGTTCAAGTAACTCTGTAGGCTGTATTGCGTAAAAGAATTTTGGAGTATATATAAAGTGTGAATAAAAGTTATGTTACTATGTCTTATAACTTTACAACACTTTGTTGTGTGTAAATGGAAGATTATTTAACCAAAAAAACAGTTCAAGGTGACTTCAAGAATTGTATCAAATTGAAATTGGATTAAGTCAGGTTTTCATATAAAAAGTGTTGTTTCTAAGTGAATGGTGCTGGTATTTAACGTTCTGTTTTCTTTTTCTTTCAAATTAAGCAGTGGTGGGCCTGTGCAATAAAGACCAACTGTGTATATTATATTTGGTGGAGATATCTAATACATTCATATTTTGGAAGTAAAGACCTCTGTCTGTGATATTATATTAATATAATGTCTGCGTGCCTATAAATAGAATCATTATCTGTTCACAATTATTATAGTTTACGAGTTTAGACAAATTTCGAACATAAAGTGCACATTCCGTCAAGAAAGAATTCGATACTCGTGTGGAGGACAGAATTAGCTTAGTCTTCCAATAGCAAATTGATATTTATTGAGTGAATTAGATAGTTTGATGTGATTGTTGGAGAGAAAATTTCACCATTCTGTCTGTCCTTTGATTTGCTTCTTACATACTGAAATAATTCTTGTTTGATTTGCTACTTCCGTACTGAAATAATTCTTGATTTTCAACAATCTGGTCCTCAGATGTTTTGTTACTGATACACTAGAACTATTTTATCAATTTATCTTCGTATTTAGATTATAAATCAAGTATTTGTTAAAAGAGCAGAAAAAAACCCAACAACATTATTAGGTATACAAAAAAAGGCAACAGTTAGTTATAATTAGGTTAGAATACAATGCGAGTTGACGTACTGACTACGCCTGGATTAAAAGCATGGGCTACGATGCCTGCCACTGAAACAAGTAGACTTAATAAAATCAGCGGTGCTGAGTCTAACGGGGTTAGTGATTATTCTCGCACCAATAATGGTAATAATGGCTGCCGGCCAAAAGATAGACACATTAAACGTGGAGATGATAAGGTATACAAAACTGTTAATAAATACAAATGATATGTGACTTTAAAAAAGACTGACAGACTCAAAAATACAAAATATACATACAGACAGACAAACGCATGAACAGACAGACAGACACGCTGTATAGACTAGTGGACATTTATTTTATCAGTAGGCAAGCTCCTGTAACCGTTAGTCCCAAAATTTATAAGTCAGAGACAACAATATTATGACATTGGAAGTCACATTATATAAGAAAAAGAAGGAAAAGCATTATAGTTTGGAAGTCATAAGCCAAAATCATGGAGGAAATGACTCCAAAACTTCCATTAATGATAGCCCTGTGTCTTTAAGTACACTTTTGTTCAACTTATAAATTATAATCCAAATTAGCTACATAGTACATGCAGTAAGACTTTCAAAATTACATTATAGTAAATTTGGTGTGTTTAACAAGATTTTCCTTTCTACTTTTAAAACTGATAATGCGACATTAATACTGATAATCCTGGCCCCAGGGGGTAGGGGATGAGAGTATGGGTGGTTTGTGAACATTCCAGCATTAGGTAAATATGTTATCTATATATTAACAGCTGCTGTGGCAGTATAAACATATGCTCCCTATAAAGACCACTTATAGATCATTATACATGATTATAGCTGATAAGCCTTCTTGTAATAAATGCTTTCTGTGTAAAGCTGCTATCTGCAGATATACATATATACCTTGTAGATAAGGTTATTTTACACATATCTGCTGTACATAGGAGTTATTTTTGTAAATAATGTAAAAATAACTTTGAATTGATTGTAAAAATTACATATTAGTTACATGAACATTTAGGAAGGGTTTTGCGGGGGAGAGGATACAAGGGGATGGGTCAGTGTCAAATCTGAACAAATTTCTTTATTTTGTTAATTTTCATACCCCATATTTATTTGCAAATTTTTATACATATTTTAGTTTGTCAAATGTATTAACACAACTGATTCAGTCTTATCATTACAAGGCATTTAAAACTATGATATAGCTATTGCTATGTTTTTAATGCGGTAGTTGGAAGAAAACATTATCTAGCCACACTGTCTCAAATTTTGTATTTTGATAGTGAATCCTTTAAACTTTAATAGATTGTTCCAATACAAAGTAGGACTTTCCCATTATACAAATTTAGTGACTGTACTATACTTCACTATACTATAGGGGCATCTGTGGCTGAGTGGTTAAGGTTTTTGACTTTAAACCACTTGCCCCTCACCGCTGTGGGTTCTTATCCCTACAGGAACTTTGGATTCTTTTATGTGAGGAAGCAATCCAGCTAGCTTATGGAATGTCTGTGGTTCTACTCAGGTGCCCGTTGAACGAAGAGCACCCAGGGCTTCACCAGAAAAGTTGAAATGTTGCCATATGCCCTATACTGTGTTGGTGTGAGGTAAAACCTAATCAAACTGATACAATAGATATAAATTTGTACCACTATGACATTTACTGTACAATGTTTTTTGGTGATCAGGTTCCACTTTGTCTGAAACATAAATCTTCGCCCCTCCTAGTCTCCAGCATCTCAACTAGAAAATTGGAAAACTAAACTGTCAAACTGGCTATTGATCTTAATACCATATAGTCAGTAAGAAAATATTGAAGTTGATTTGTTTTCCCTTTTGGGTGATTGATCTTTCAGGTCATTGTGGCAATTTGTTTAAAGTTTTAATATTTATGTAAGTTATATAAAAAGTGCAGAACCATCAAACTGAGGGTTTTATCTATTTTTGTTAGAAATTTTCAAGTTATAAAACCAAATTCATCATTAAAATGTTTGTTTTTTTTGTTGTTGTTTTTTATAACTATTCTGTCTTTCTTTCTTTGGATAGAATTTAAGTGTTTAGAAAGCAAACAGTTTTACAAAATAAAATAAAAATAACATTTTTATAAATCTATGTTATATTTCATTTCGTGTGAGAGATGGTGTTAAAAAAAATTTGTAAAATTAAACAGGATATTTTATTTCAATCGATGAAAACATAAAAGCATAGAAAATTGTTTTATCTTACCAGTGTTTTGATTGGACAGTAACTGTTATACAATCATGTAATTACTGATAAGCTAATATTAGTGGCACATTCCTTATATTATCTCAGTCTTGTTACCCCAGTTTTGTTACCTCATGTTGCTGCAAGTTGTAACTTATGGCTCCTGAATTTTCCACAAGTTGATTTAGGCTCTTTCCTTAGATACCTCAGGTTACCTCGATTTATAAATTGCGTTTTCCCCAGTTTTATGTTATCTCAATTTCCTCAGATAAAGTTATGTTAAATTATGGTCCCCAAATTTTCCTCAGGTTGACCTCAAGTTGTTCAATGGTTCCTGAAGTAACCTCAGTTATCTCAAGTTATACAATGGTTCTGAAGTAACCTCAGGTTATCTCAAGTTATATTGTGTTTTCCCCAGTTTTAAGTTACTTTATGTTACTACAAGTTTCTTCAGGTAGATAGAAATTGATTATATTTTCTTAAGTGTCTTAATTTTTCATTGTGTTTTCTTAAACTATATGAGATTGATTCAAGTTGCTTTAATGTATTTTCTCATCAAGTTTCATCATGTCAACTCAAGTGGCATTATGTCACCTCAAGTTACATCATTTTACCTTAAGTGACATTATGTTTGTAACTCAAGTGACACCATGTTACCTCAAGTGACACCATGTTACCTCAAGTGACATCATGTTACCTCAAGTCACCTCATGTTACCTCAAGTGACACCATGTTACCTCAAGTGGCATCGTGTTACCTTATTATTTTACATGCAGTATAATATCATGTTATTTACCTAACAGAAGCTTGCACACGACCATTTTACAGACTGACAAAAAACTGACCAATAAACTTTAATATTAATAATTTCTATAGATCATTTGAAAGATTTGATTTACACATAATGCTTTAATAAGTCAACCTCTTCTTTACGATAATTATTTATTATAATAGAATTATTTTATTGTAATATATTAATTATGTTACAATTTAAAGAAAATTTTGTAAATGTCTCTCTTTTAAAATATCTGACGATGAAAGCTATCTTGTAAATGAATAATGTACCCAGGTTTAAAAAAGAAACTGGGGAAAGAAATCATCAAGAAAATTAAATTTTACAACTTTAATTCTATGTTTGGCAAACATGTTTTTGTAATGGCAACAAGTTCAAGATAGGCTTTCATCAGACGTGATACATTTGATATAAGAGTTACTTCTAATAATGATTCTCATTTATATTGTGCAATATGTATATTGCTTTATGACACTATCTTTACTGGGGCCTCTTTCCCATATTTTTATCACATATGTCCCGAACTTGGCTTGCGGCTTGAAATAATTGCCGTTGATTGAACAACCTGTACGAATATACACACACCGTCATCTTACAACATCACGATTCACCTCAACCCCGCCGCATCGTTGCTGTTAACTGACTGATCAACTGATGGTTGCGGAAATGTCAATGTCACTGGAATATGATGGCTGAATTTGTCGTGGGGATTGGTTGTTATGGTAACAGGATAGAGGGAGTGGGGATGGAGGTCATAAAGTTCTCGACGATGAAGATGGTCATCTACTATATCAAGCCGGGGACATTCTTCAAGCTAGATGTACTTGACATTTCGTAACGTTTAGTCTTAGGATTATTTTCATTGTTATCGTGCCAAATTTTTTTTCTTCCTTTTTTTGCTGTTATTTAGGTACTTAATTGAATTTTGAATGTATTGGAATATGGTAAAAACAACCATTGTACCCAGTATATTCAAATTGACATTGTTACCATAGCAATGATCTTATATCATACCAGAAGTTTACGAAAATCTGATTTATTTGTTTATTTCATCCATTATTTTTTTTTTTACGGAAGCCATATTTGTCTTGAGTCTTTACATATAATAGGGAGTGCTAAACCAGTTTAAAAAACATGCTTTCCTATTGTGAAGATACTAATATTTAATATAATTTATGTGACCATTTTTGATATTATAAACAAACATTTGAAATTTGCTAACCATTTTTGATAATCCATGAAATGGTAAAAATTTCTGAAAATTTTGTACTGACAAGAAACATGGTGCATGGTAGAAGAGTAAATGTAGGGACAGTTTTTGGGAATACATTTTAAGATTGCTGTATATGCGAGAAGTTTTTTAAGATTTTTGGAATTGTTTAAAAGCATGGATTGTCAGAAGAGACGAATTATAAGGAAGGGTAGGGTATAGATATATAAGGAAAATACTAACTGCCGTTTGAATGATTCATTTTTCAGATGAGGTATTGTCTACCCTTGGTGAAGGAACATTTGGCAAAGTTATTGAAGTTAAAGACTCTCGCAGGTAACTTTTACAATATTATACTTCTTTTCCACTTGTATCAATTTTCTTAATATTATGCTTTGTTCATGGCAATGGTTTGTTTTCAGGTTTTGCATTAAATGCTTACTCTAGTAACAATTTATTTTTGACATTGACCACCAGTGTTTCCCCCAACAATCCCTTCAGTAACAATTTTTAGACATGTTGATTGATAATAACATTCTGTTGTTATTGAAAGAATGTATCCATGCAGTTGTCAGTATACTATCTTGTCAACTGGTGCTTTAATAATGATTGTTATTATAAGGTCATGCATCCAGGTCATAAGGTGAAAGGACAAAGTTCATGTACAAGGTCATGCTGTCAAACGTTAAGATGTCAGTTAGTTACGTTAAGATGTCAGTTAGTTAAAACAAAAAAGATTTTTTTTTTATCATTTCTGTAATGGACCATTAACCAACCATTTACTGAACTATATTTTTAGATGAACTATAGTTCCAACTTTAGTGTTTGTAATTGTCTGTTATCAATTTTGGGATATCAAGATGAATTTAAAGTTTGTAAGCTTACAGTATACAGCCTGGTCAGACCACTGGCATGTTCGGTAGCCTGGCTATGTCTATCTAGTCTATACTGGTTGCAAAACTGGTTAATCACTTTTGATTTAAGCAAGTGAAAGGTTTATACACAGTCATCAAATTTAGCACTGACCTGGTGGCCCAAGGCCAGTGAAAATTATTTCGGGCCAGTGTAAATTTTAAGAAAATTTAGTTAGTTATATGGTAGAATAAATTCAAAACTGGGATTCGGGCCAGTAGATTAAAAATCATATATTCAATGACTGTATACACAGATCTGTTATCACAGACGTGAAGACATAAGACCGTCTGACATTTACCCCATTGTAAAATTTAATTAATATCTTCCAAGCAGAACTGTTTCCTTGAACTAAATGAATTTGTCTGGAAAAATGGTCTTAAAACGATTCTAATGATAGCTTTTGTGTCTAAAGCCATGTTACTATGTCTGTGTTTTGGTTAATTTCCAATAGGTCTGTAGAAAAGATATGTGTCTAATTTGTTTGTTTTTTTGCCTTCTAAGAATGCTGTTGAACATGGAATTTTTTTGTTTCCCCATTTTGATTCAGAGAAAATCTGAAGAAGTTTTACACAGGTTTAATGTTTTTAACAGAAACAGTTTGAGAAACAGTGAACTAAGTTCTGCACAGGTTCGTTCTTTCAACATACTCATGTTAATATATTGGGAGAAAAGTTTTAAAGTGAGAAAAAAAATGTTATAGGCCTTTCATTGATAAGTACTTTAGATTGATTGATAGATCTAAGTTTACATTTTACAAGCACACAAAACTGCTGGTATATATATATACACCACACATATTTTATAAGCAATTTTTCTCAGGTATATTCAAGAAACTGTAATCATGAGCTAGCATCTGTGTTACCATGGTAACAGATTACTCTAAAACCTGTAGAGATGAGGTTTTTGTATTGTAATAGTCTTGTTCTGGTATACATGTTAATAGTGTAAAAATATAACAAGTTTTTAGATGTATCTATGAGAGCATATGAGTCAAGTTGGTACAAAGTTAGGCAGTACAAAGTTAGGCAGATAATCTTGTTTTTATATCATTAACAGCTTCACTTATGTACCTGAATCATTCTGACACATGAATTTTACATTATAGCTTATAACATATGAGCCGCGCCATGACAAAACCAACATAATGCGTTTGCGACCAGCATGGATCCAGACCAGCCTGCGCATCCGCGCAGTCTGATCAGGATCCATGCTGTTCGCTTACAAACCCTATTACAAGTAGAGAAACAGATAGCGAACAGCATGGATCCTGATCAGACTGCGCGGATGCGCAGGCTGGTCTGGATCCATGCTGGTCGCAAACCCATTGTGTTGATTTTGTCGTGACGCGGCTCATATGTCTTCTTTCTTCAATAAGAGATAGGGCAAGAAATGTTTTTGTTAAATAATTGGTCAAACAAATACTGTCTAACCAAAAGTTTTTCTCAAAACATTATGATGATTTACACCTTCTACATGTTGAAATGAAATCATGTGAAACAGAAAAAGACATAATTAGACTTTGTGTTATATTTGACATTAACTAAAAGTTATAATAAGACTTCTATTTTCTTGCCAAAATTGACAGAACCATTTCTATCTATAAAGTGTACCAAGTTTTAAAGTCAGACTTTCCTATAGACAGTATTGTGTTTTTCCTATCCTATTTTTTTTTACGCAATTAACATAATTTCGCGATACTTGTAGCACTTTATTTTGAAGGGTTAGGCATTGTTTAACCCCTTAGTTTTATAAACTACATTTTTTTCTGTCCAAATTTAGTCAATCCACATACCTTTCTTGAAAGATGTGGTAATTATATGTCTATCTTTCTAAGTTCTGTCAATGTCTTTAGAATTGGGACTTGGTCAACATCTGCCAGGTCAAAAATAAATGATATACTACTTAGTGAATTAGTGAAAACAAAAAACCCATACTTTTTGAATAATTATTAACAACACTTTTGGAGAAAAATAAACATTTCTAGCAAATGGAAACAAGTCTCCCTTTAGTAAACCACATGGCTGTAGCAACTGGATGCTTTTAGCAACTAAGTCGCCTAAAGTTCTGAACTTCGCCAAGTTTGAACATCAAAGTAAAATCAACTTTGCCAAGCTTTTTTACTTACAGCATGTACAGATCCAGATCTTTACATATGACAAAGCAATAAATTTAATCCTTGCTTCTGGGCATGATTTAAACTGAATTGTTGACAACCAGTATAGTGGGGGGGGGGGCACTGTCCATGTACAGCAGCCCTGGCTCTTCTTTCATTGTCAAGACTTTTTCACAGGTAAGGGGCCCCTTCCCTTAATTTTGGGGAAATATTACAGGGTATTTTGCAAAAGGGGGTAGAAAAAAAACTTGATTTGAATCAAGTTTAATGAATTTTCCAGGGGGAAGCCACCATAAAATCAGCTTCTGCTGTAAAAACCACTGATATCCTTATCTTGGAAAAGATTAAATGTTATATTCAATTCTTTTTAAGCCGGTGCTAGGGAGCATGGACCTTAGCTTGCATTTTTCAGTATCGTCCATGAACGGGCTCAATCAAACCGAGCCTGCAACTTTTTCAATATTGCTGTTTTGAGCGTTCTTTAGGTCTATCTTCTTTGCTGGGGATGCACTGTAGAATTTGATATCTCTTGTATGTTACTGTAAACCAGGTATTGTGTACATGTTTTGATTGATGTAGAGAGGAAAACAGAGATTGTTTTATAACATTTGCCAAACATAAGGTGATAAAACAATGATTTATGTTCATTTATCATATTTTTTTACCTGCCAAATTATTTCTGGTTTCTAGGTTTCTTTTATTATATAAGAATTGTTACTGTTATGTACATTCCTGTAACAGTATATTATGAGAAAACTGTTCAATGGTGACAGGCTATAGTGAATGCTGTATTATTTCTAGCAGCCATCATGGAGTCTGCTTTAAACTTTTTATCTGAGCATTATTTATGACTTAAAACCTAGCAAAATATAATTTAGACACATATTATCATGTTTTGTCACTCAAATTTTTGTTCAACTATCAGGGCTGTGTTTATAGATATTGGAAACGGTCCTTTCCTGAAATTTGTGGGGAAATAATATAGTGCTTTTGTATAAGCGGAAGAAAAAAACTACTATTTATACCCCCAAAAACGAAGTTTGGGGGGTATATAGGAGTCACCCGGTGGTCGGTCGGTTGGTCGGGCGGTCGGTCGGTCGGTCGGTCCAGACGTCTGTTGCATTTTCCTTGTCCGGAGCATAACTTGAAGACTAATGCTTGGAATTCAATATAACTACACACAATGGTCAAGCACATTGAGAGGAAGTGCAGTGCACAAGAACCATAACTCTATCTTGACTAATTACAGAGTTATTGCCCTTTGTTACTTTTCCTTGTCCGGGGCATAACTTGAAAACTACTGGTTGGAATTCAAAATAACTTCATACAATTGTCAAACACAATAAGGGGAAGTGCAGTGCACAAGAACCATAACTCTATGTAAAGTAATTACAGAGTTATTGCCCTTTGTTACTTTTCCATTGCTTTTTTTTGTCCGGACCATAACTTGAAGACTAATAGTTGGAATTCAATATAACTACATACAATGGTCAAGCACATTGAGAGGAAGTGCAGTGCACAAGAACCATAACTCCATCTTGATTAATTACAGAGTTATTGCCCTTTGTTACTTTTCCTTGTCCGGGGCATAACTTGAAAACTACTGGTTGGAATTCAAAATAACTTCATACAATTGTCAAACACAAAAAGGGGAAGTGCAGTGCACAAGAACCATAACTCCATATTGACTAATTACAGAGTTATTGCCCTTTGTTACTTTTCCATTGCTTTTTTGTCAGGAGCATAACTTGAAGACTAATGGATGGAATTCAATATTACTTCATACAATGTTCAACACATTGAGAGGAAGTGCAGTGCACAGGAACCATAACTCCATCTTGACTAATTACAGAGTTACTGCCCTTTGTTAATTTTCCTTGTCCAGAGCATGACTTGAAAACTACTGGTTGGAATTCAAAACAACTTCATACAATGGTCAAGCACAATAAGGGGAAGTGCAGTGCACAAGAACCATAACTCCATCTTGACTAATTACAGAGTTATTGCCCTTTGTTACTTTTCCATTGCTTTTTTGTCCGGAGCATAACTTGAAGACTAATGGTTGGAATTCATTATAACTTCATACAATGGTCAAGCACATTGAGAGGAAGTGCAGTGCACAAGAACCATAACTCCATCTTGACTAATTACAGAGTTATTGCCCTTTGTTACTTTTCCTTGTCCAGAGCATAACTTGAAAACTACTGTTTGGAATTCAGTACAACTTAATACAGTTGTCAAGGACATTAAAAGGAAGTACAGTGCACAAGAGCCATAACTCCATTTTGACAAAATACAGAGTTACTGCCCTTGATACTTTTCCTTGTCCTGAGCATAACTTAATACGTACTGGTTGGAATTCAAAACAACTTCATACAATGTTCAAGCACAATAAGAGGAAGTGCAGTGCACAAGAACTATGACTCTATCTTCAGTTTTTATAGAGTTTTTGCCCTTTGTTCCTTTTCTTTGTCTTTCTGGACTTATTACAGAGTAATTCAATTAAACTTCATCAATGGCCAACCACATTGAAAGGATATGCAACATAGAAGAACCACAACTATCTTTAATTGCTAACAACCATAACTCTATATTTCAATTCTTTTACAAGGTATTCTGTTACTAGTAACATCCTCATTTCCGAAGCAGTCTTGTGGGGGTATTAATCACATTTAGTGATAGTTCTAGTTTAAAAAAAATTCAAGAGTGGAAAGAGGTCTGAAAATTGTCCATGCTATAGAAAGAAGAAGAGAACAAACAAGAGTATGAACATTTAAACTGGATGCTCTCCCTTTTATCTCTTATTATTGATATGTTTGTAGATAAAAAAAAATGAGATAAATTTTTACAGAGATTTTTGTTTCATGTAAGTTCATTGAACCATCTACCTTTTTGATAGACTGATTTCTTTGTTTTTGAACATTCTGATTTTGTTTATCTTTGTTTTTTATGTCTTTGTTTAAGGCAGCATGCCTCCAGATTTATGCCAGTTTCCTGTTATTTTACCCTTTCTGTGCTAAATAATGTAGATCTACATGTGAATAGACTTGTCCATCTTTCATTCAGTATAAAAACATTCATTAGGGGTTTTTTTGTGGAAAAAAAATCAAAATAAATACCTATTGAAATGAGAACAGTGCAAACTATGATTGTTTGAATCGTTTGGCACCCGGGTGTCCCGGCAGATTTTGGTTTGTCCTTGTAGAATGAGTGGATTCAGTTGCTGCTACCAGACTTTAGTTAACCAGGTGTTCCGAATTAATAGCAAAACTATTGTCAATTTAGAGTGACATTATGCTCATTATTTTTTGCTGTCAAGTTGAGATGAATTGGTTATATATTTCAAGAGATTGACTATTTTAATGGTGATTTACCAATAATTGATAATAAAGACATAAAATATTTAGGATGAAATATAAAAGCTTACTAAATTGTAAAAAGACTGCCCCACTCTTGATATATTCTGAAGAATATTTAGAAATGTCTATGTTTGACATGTATAATTGATTGATTTTGCAGTTCAAATTTGAACACATTTATGGCAAAATATAAAGTTTAAGACTTTAAGAGGTGAAGTCACCATTTACACTTGGAAGGGTATATTGCCACTTATACAAAAGGGAATACAATCAAATTTATCTAGCATAATATATTTATTATCCACATGTATTTCATAAATGCATCAAAATACAGAAACACTTTTCTTTTACAATTTATTTGTACAATGTAAACAGTAATGATGTAGAAATCATAAAAATAGAAAATTCAGTCATATTTTGCTGGATGCAAATATTTTGCCCTGTTTTGCCGAAAACTTACACCCATCATTCTTTCAAACAGACAGATATTTCAATTAGTGACAGACCCATTTGGCTTAATACCCTTTAATGATTTGTAGGAAGATTTCAGATTGATTCAAAATTTGGGGAAAAAAATATTGTTGATATGTCTTGGCCGCCCATCAAATCAGAATGGAGAATATTGAAAATTTAACAGTCTGTCATTCTGTTGTCTGGACCCATACCTTTGATCTATCTTGAATGTGTTTATGATGACGTAAATCAGACACACGGACTTTCATGAAAAATCCACCAAGGATATTTTAATCTTTTATTTCATTTATTTGTAACTAAACTTGTATGTGTCAAAAAAGGGGCGTTGCACCATCGTAATCACTGTTTTAGTGAAAAATCATTTATGTAGCCCATTATTCAAATATTTTAAAAGCCTTGCGTATTTGCTAATCATAACAAGGTGCAATTTAAGACAAGGGGCACTGTCCTGAAGGCAATATTTTTGGAGTTATGACCCTTTTTAACTTTTCTTGTTTGTCAAAATTTGTCATTGATGGTCATTGCCACAGACTAGCGTTTCTCCACATGCGGTGCCCTTGTCTTTAATAATCCAAGTCACTTAATACTAAGAAATTTCATTTGAGTCAAGTGATCTGTATCATACAGGGATTGGATATCAGATTAACATATTTACTTGTATTTTTCAGAAACAGTGAGCATGTAGCATTAAAGATTATAAAGAATGTAGAGAAGTACAGAGAAGCTGCCAAGTTGGAGATTAATGTACTAGAAAAACTACGTGACAAAGACCCAACTGGGAAAAAGTTAGTCATTTTTTGTTTTTTATTCGCTTTATAAAAATATGGATTATTTCCCCTGCTTGCTTACCATGCCAGATTTTTGAAATGGAAGGGTCCTGATTAAAATTTGTAACTGTCCAATGTTTTCATTATGTCAGACTTGTGATCTAAAGGGAAAATATAGTTATTTGTTGAATTTTGTCTTGTTTTCTATAAAGAAATTAAACCTTTACCAACAAATTAAATCTTTTCCTTCAAATTTTTTATTGTGCCTTGAATTAGAAACAGTCCACTTTGGATGTTAGGCACAATTGATATACAAAATGTTAGAAATATTTAAAAGCATAGGAGTGTATAGAATGTAAGTAGATTATACAGATAAACTGGTATGAAATGTAGCCACTTGCAGATTTACTGTGTTAGAATACAACTCATGATGTTGAATTGTTTTATGTGAGGAAGTTATCCATCTGTGGTAGCTTTTGGAATGTCAGCGGTTCTTCTCATCGGACATCTCTTCCTTTCTTCTCATTGGACCGACGTCTCGTTTGTTTAATCAAAAAGTGCACCTGAGGTTTTACTCCAGCTTTACTGCTGCAGGAAGACATCAAGTTGCAAAGTCACCATTTGACAGTTACAGTGTTGGTATGGCTAAAAATCCAACAAAATATAATAACAAGATATAAGATATTATATTTTTTTTGTATATATTTCAGATTATGTGTTCAGATGTTAGATTGGTTCGACTATCATGGCCATATGTGTCTAGCATTTGACATGTTAGGTCTCAGTGTATTTGATTTCTTGGTAAGTTCTTACAATATTTTTAAAAAATAAACATTTTCCATATTTTTGTTTAGTACAAAAGTATCAGAAAAAAATATCATCCTGTATGTTGGAACCAAACTTGAGCCCTTGGGTTAACAAAGACTAACTCAGTGCTTTCTAAAAGGGAAATTTAGTGACAATAAAAAAAATGTAAATCAAAACATCAACAAATGAGAATGTCAGAGAGGCAGATATTTAATTGAATTTTAATTGCAAGTTCCTAGCTGAGACCATGTATTGTGACAGTTTTCTGTCTCTTTTAAGTCCATAACTCAGGTAATGGTCATATCCTACAGTGATTTTTTTACCTCTGCATCCTGAGTCCAGGACTCATTGAATTTGCTGTGGATGCAAAGTTTCAAATAATGTGCATCTTTTGGATGCATACTTTTTCTGAGTAGGGAGTCCTGTCTCATAGGAATTTGGTAATAAATACCAAATTGTGTTCAAGTTATGTCTGTAAATCTTCTACAGATAAGAAATAATAATGTGCTATACTATAGATAAGCATAAAAATATTAAGGAAAATGAAGTTTTGATTAATCTCAAACTAAATTAATGAAAATAAACTTATTAAATTTATTTGACAGTTTTAAATAATTTCAGTATCAGAAGCATTGTAATTAATGTAGAAGTCAAATTCATTTTTTCTTCATTCCATTGTTAATGTACCTTTCATATCACTAAAGCAATATTATGCCTTGTAACTTGGATTTGTCGGCTGAATTTTTGGACTCATTGATTTATTGCCCAGCGAGTCCTAGGACCCACACTGATGAGTTTGTAAAAAAATCACTGATCCTAGTGAGAAATATGCCGCAATGGCATGTTGGGGAAAAATACAGCATTTTTAGGAGATTAGAGGAAAAGAACTTGATTTTAGTTGTAAAATATAGGGAGAAAAACCACTGTATAGACTATAGATGGGTGGGGGGGGTAGCATTTTTAGTAGACTGGATGAAAAAAAAAAACTTGAATACAGGGAGAAAAATCACTGTGTATAATATGTGCTAATATTTTTTAATGAGTGAGGAAAGACCATTGTCAGTGTAAATGTACAGTTGTTTTTTGTTTTATTATTTCAGAAAGAGAATAATTATATTCCATATGACTTGGATCAGGTTAGACACATATCATATCAGTTGTGCTATGCAGTACAATGTAAGTACAAACTTGTTTGTTTATTTGTCTGGTTTTTATGCCAATTTTTAACTCAATTTTGGTCACATTCATATGGCAGGTTGGTTCAACTAATTGGTTCTCTTAGATAACTCACTAACCAGTTATCATGAATTATAACCAGTAATCTGTCAATATTCGAGATAATTTATCATTGAAAATTTTCACCTTGTCCAAGGATTGAACCAGCGACCTCGGGAATACAAATCAGATGCTGTCATGATTGAGCTTATCAGGCAGGCAAATATTTTGTGATCAACATGTTGCTTTTAAAGTTATAACTGTACAACTGTATCCCGGGATTAGATGGGGGAAAAACCCACGTTTGCCAGGTCCCTGAATGACCCTATTCAGATGTTATAAATAGTGACTGTGTGTGTTCCAAAACCTTTTGATGAGATGATACAAAAATTATTTCAAGAATTAAGATAAAGAATAAATCCAAATATTGTGCTATCTTTTAATTTTATAACATGTCTACAGAAAGAAATATTACATGAAAATTGATTATGACTTTATTTGTTCATACTGTGCTTATTTGTTCATTTAGATTATGTGCTTATTTCTTGATTATGATTGTGTTTATTTGTTGATTGTGGGTTTATTTGTTTTATATTTTCAGTTCTTCATGAAAATCGTCTCACTCATACAGATCTTAAACCTGAAAATATCTTATTTGTTAGCTCAGATTATGATACCACATATAATGCCAAAAAGGTAAGTTGGTGAACTAGGATGTAAGTATTAGTAATGATAAAATCTTTAGCTTAACCAATGAACAGTAGAAATTACATTAAGTGTTCTAAGACTTAGTGTAAAACAGTTGTAACTTCTCTATATATCTTACAAGTTGTAGTTGTTTTTTACCAAGCCTTTATACTAAATCAACTCAACACTGTCTTTAGTCTTTAATATGGAAAATCTTTTAAAATACCTCTGAGGCTAAGTGGTTACGGTCACTGGCATTCGGTGGCTTGTCCCCTAATTGCTGTGGGTTCAAATCCTACCAGGGAGTTTATATATTTATGTATCCGTATAAGGCAGATACTGCTTTAGCATTCATGAGGTCATTGGTTCTACTCAGATGTTAGCATGTGACTTAAATAATGCACTGAGAGTGTACCAATAATGCACTGAGAGTGTACCAATAATGCACTGAGAGTGTACCAATAATGCACTGAGAGTGTACCAATAATGCACTGAGAGTGTACCAATAATGCACTGAGAGTGTACCAGAAGTGAAGGAAGTGTTCATAACACACACCAGTAAAACTTGAAAGTTACAACATCACATTTACAGAGTCGGTTATCAAGATGACTTGAAAACAAAACAAAAAATAAGGAACACATTGTTTACAATTAATACAGAGATTGAAAATTCCTCTTGTCCGCTCGTAATTACCAGTATAATTTAAGAGAACTCTATATGTAGGACGAGTATAAAAATGTTGCCTGCAAACTGCATTTAGAAGCTATTCATCCTGAAGGACGAGTGACTATGAAAATATATTTTGATGTCTGTAATATAGACATTAGTGCAATATTAATTTTCTCTTGCTTACCTCTCAGAGTTTATGTAGATAACATGAACTCTACGTTCATTTAGTTTGCTAGAACAATCATGTTTGGACTTGACATGCATACTGGAAAAGCTGTTTATTTTATGTAATAAAATATTATTTTAACTCTGTAATTTTGAAAGTTCAGGGAAATTCATCATAATTTGATAAGATGTAAATGATGATACTGTGTATTACAGAAACGGGACGAAAGATATATAAAGAACACAGACATTCGGTTGATAGATTTCGGGTCGGCAACATTCGATCATGAACACCACAGTACAATAGTTTCTACACGACACTACCGAGCTCCTGAAGTGATATTAGGTTTGTTACAAATTTACAAATACTTTGTTTTGTTGCTGAAGTGCTGCTTAATGAACTGGGAGTGGGGAGGGTTGTAATGGATATTGAATTGGTCGTTAGGTGGCCGGATGGATGTAAGCAATGTCTTCTGTTTCACACATCCAAGATTTTTCAAGGGATTTTAACCATATTTTAATAACAACATTTTTGGCAATTTTCCCTGAAATTATGTCAAGCTGTGTCAAAGATTGAAAGTCCATTTAAGATGTAAAGAGGGGTGAGGGTTAAAGAACTGGTTAAAGACATAAAATATTAAGTTGTTTACAGCATGATTTGATCAGATTGAGTTCATGTTAAGTTCTGCTAATGAATATGAAAAAGAGTAAACTGTGCTAAGAAAGAGCTGTTATGGTCTTAGTAAAGTTAATATGAAAGACATGTGTAAAATGTTAAATATGCACAACAAAACTTATCGTCTGCAGCAGATGCCAAGCAAATTTTCCTGGTGAAATCTTCACTAGCCTGGCATTTATACATTTCTGATTCCTTGCTGTACTATATTTACCTAGGAAAATATTTTTCCTGGTGGGTGATAATCAGCTGCATGGCTTACACAAAGAAAAGTTATTGTTGTTGTTGTTGTTGTTTAGTTGGACGTGTTTCAACAGCATCTCTGTATTAGTGGTTTTATCTGTAATATTTATGAATTACTTGAAGATGTTAACATGGTGCGTAATAATTATTGATGTATCATCATTATGAAACATATTCTTTGTGTCGATTTCACCTTTAAATTTCTCATATTCTATATTAATTACAGATCTGTAGTGATTATATGATAAGAATTTTTCAAACAAGGAAATAATTTGTATTAGATCCTGTGAGAACTTTTCAAATAAGTTTTGGTAGAAAATGTTTTTGTCCTAAAAATGTATTGTGAAATTATGTAAATTTGGCCAAAATTTAGTCAAATTGGTAATTTTGTCACATTTTAAGGCCAAAGTTGAGAAAAAGACATTTTATTAGAAGGGTGGATAATGGATAATGATCACAAATAAAGAAAACAGTGATTTTCAATATTGTTATTAAAGATTCCAAGAAAATGCTAAATCACTGAGTTTCATAATAAATAAAAGATTGCAGCAGTTAGTAATTTAACTTCTGTGTAGGATACTGTAGGTGTGATGGTATGTATTTTATATCCTGATTCACAATTTGAGCATACACCAGCAGAATGTCTAACATTAAGGGAACTCACTGTATTTCATATAACTGTCATTGTATTATAAGTCAGTGTGACTCGGATAATATGTCGAGTATTTTGTAGTTGGCATCAGTTTACCTAACAGCATGAAAAATGTTCTTTCATATTGGAGATTATCCCAAGTTATTCAATTGATTACTGAGATATAACAGTGAAATATATGTGGTATTTGTCCAAAACAAAATTATCAAATATATTTTTATAATAGATTTGAATGTGGGACATTGTGGTGTCATGATTTGAGCCGCGTCATGACAAAACCAACATAATGGGTTTGCGACCAATATGAATCCAGACCAGCCTGCGCAACCGCGCAGTCTGATCAGGATCCATGTTGTTCGCTTACCAACTCTATTACAAGTAGAGAAACTGATAGCGAATAGCATGGATCCTGATCAGACTGCACGGATGCGCAGGCTGGTCTGGATCCATGCTGGTCGCAAACCCATTATGTTGGTTTTGTCGTGACGCAGCTCATTTGATGATGTCATGAAGGTGAACACATAATGTATGGCTAGAATGATTAAAGTCATCGGGGAAAAAAAATGCATAAAATAGATATTTGAATTTGACTAATGACTGTAACATGTTCTAAAACTTGCCAGAAATCTTAAATTGATATCTTAATCTACATTACTATCATATACAATAACAGTAACACAAAACTAATGGAAGGTTAGTGGTTTAATAAATGTGCCTGTTTTCTGCATGAAATGATTTATGAAAGCTTTAAAGGGAATGTTAGGTCTTACTCAGCCGTTATAAAGATATTTGGGGGGAAAAAGTGTTCCCTCGTAAGCATTAAAAAACAGCAATATGACATGAAATTTGCAGACTCGGTTTTATTGAGTCTGTACATGAGGGATAATGAAAAAGTGCAACATCCCTTACATCCCTAGGTTGATAACAGAAACAGAAAAAACCTGTATTATTCAGTGCAAATAGTTATTTTATGATGTTAGTGGTAAATTAGCAGATATTAATCACTATTAAACTGGAAAATTCATCTTCAAGTTCTGTTGCTGACAGATAGGATGGTTAAGTGATTTTACATAAATACTTCGCCATACCATTCTCACAAATAAAATAATGATGATGAGAATATATGATGCGTAATCCAAGTGAAACTTTTCCATCTCTTAATGTCACAGACTGTTTTGAAATAGTAATATCAGAACAAAAATAAAACATCTAAAACAAGTTCTACGTAGACATACGTCTGTTACAGTTACTATTTATAGCTTGGCAGTGTTTCTGATGATGTCATGGTGATAAATCTGTGTAGGTAAAGGTAGAATGACGGCACATGTTGGCAGGAGAAGTTATTATAGAAGATAATGGTTGTTTGTAATTGACTTCTCCCTTCCCATAAATCTGATCACTTTTACATAGAATGTCAGAAGTTTTCTATATATCACTTTTTTTCTGTTTATAACATCTTATACATCTTATATTATCATAAAAAAGACAAGAGATTTATTAAATGTTACATTATTTACTAGAAATTGTATATTTTTTGTTTTCACCTTTTCTAAAAAACTAAAGGTAAAAAACAAAAAATAAATTTTCAACAACCTGTATTACTTTGTAGGGGAGCTTGGTATGCTTAAACTGGTTTCACTGTTTTCTCTATATGGAATTTAAGGAGAAATGTTTATTTTTGAGCTGAATAGGCATATCTATTTCAAACAGAAATTATTTCATGATTACCTAAAATTAAATAACTGTTTTTTAAAAAATATAGTGTAAACTTAGTACTCAATTCATCATTATTAACATGTTGAAATTGATGTACATGTATGTGTTATTTCAAAGACTTTTTTCCCACTTTTCCTGTAATACAAAGAAGGCAAATATTTAAGCTGTAAAAGCAAGTACCAGTATTCTAATCTAGATGTTAAATTTATATAAATTATACATGTAAAAAGAATAAGGGAAGTGAAACCCACGAAACAAAGTGGGTCATATATATAAATTTGTGATTATTTAGTAGTCAATTACTTGCAGAGAAATTGGTAATTACTGATACTAATAGCTAATTTGATATATTGACCCTCAAGATATAACCAAAATTATGTGTTACAAAGGATGTTATAATTCAGGAAATCAGAAGTATATGAATTAAAAATATGTATAAATTTATGAATATATACATTTATTCAAACATTATATTTTATTTCAGAGTTGGGTTGGTCTCAGCCATGTGATGTATGGAGTATAGGTTGTATAATGTTTGAACTCTACACAGGGTTTACACTATTCCAGGTAAGTCATTACTTATTCTCATCACATACATGTTTCAACTCTTTAACATGCTCAATTTTTTTTTAATCCACTCGCTGTGCTTCCATTTTTAGCTCGACTTTTCTATGAAAAGGGGAGCTATCCTACTCGCCCCGGCGTCGGCGTTAGCGTTAGCGTTGGCGTCACACCTTGGTTAAGTTTTTCGTACCACCCCACTTTATTTCAGAAGTATTACAAGTATGGCTTTGAAACTTACCATACTTGTTCACCATCATAACCTCCATCTACAGACAAGAGTACATAACTCTGTCAAGGTTTTTGACAGAATTATGGCCCTTTTTTGACTTAGAAAGTGTATTGAGCTTGGTTAAGTTTTTTGTACCACCTCACTTTATTTCAAAACCATTGGAGGTATTGCTTTGAAACTGACCATACTTGTTTACCATCACGACCTTCATCAACAGACAAGAGGACATAACTCTGTCAAGGTTTTTGACAGAATTATGCCCCTTTTTGACTTAGAAAATACATTGAATATGGGTAAAATCCACTTATTGCCTTAACCCTTTGAGATATTGCTTTGAAACTTTTAATGCTATTTCACATCATTACCCCCATCTGTACGCAAGAGAAGGTAACTCTGTCAAGGATTTGTTTTAAAAATTAAGGCCTTTTATCGACTTAGAATCTTGGTTAAGTTTTTAGTACCAGTCCACTTTTTGACTGAACTGTTTGAGATACTAATTTGAAAGTTGGAATACTTGTTTACAATCATGATTCCCAAACATGTCCAGGAGAAGGTAATTCTGTCAAAGATTTTATTTGAATTATGGCCCTTAACTGTCAATGTTTTGTATTATAGGCAAGCACTAAAAAAGTCGAGCGCGCTATCTTACGGACAGCTCTTGTTACCTTGACTATTATATTCATGAAATAGGGATAGCTATCCCTGTCACCTGGGCGACAGCATTTGTATCTTTGTCACAGTTTTGGTTAGGTTTATCGTACCACCGAACAGATCTGATATACACTTTATAGTATTGCTTTGATACTTTGACCTTTGTATCCTTGTTAGTGACCATCACCCCAGCTTTGAGCTAGAACTGTCATCAATAGAGACGATATTGATGTATTGTTGATATTTTTCTGTCGATCAATAATCGATATACATTTGAAGAAATCGATAATTTTGATTAATTATTTGAATGTCTTTCAATTATGATAATTCACCCAAAACATATACAAAAGCATACGTGTGGCCATGTCTAACACTAAGCTGTTGTTACATTATGGACATATTTCATAGCAGTAAAGACAAAAAATGATTAGGAAAATCACGCAAAGGACATTCATAAATAGGACACAAAATGTTTGTATGAACAGAACATATATTTTACTAAAATCATTTTAAACAGCTATGAAAGTGAAAAATATACAAGAAATTAGAGTAAATATCAATTTATCGATGTATCGTCAATATGCTTTGCTATGAATCAATGACAGGTCTACTTTGAGAGCGGTGTCTTATGGACAGCCCTTGTTGAATATATTATTGTATAATTGTATGGTTAATTACAGACACACGATAACAAGGAACATTTAGCCATGATGGAACGTATACTTGGAAGTCTACCTTACAGAATGACGAAAAAAACAAAGTAAGTATTTAATACATCTTGTACCAGATCTTACACATCTTTAAACCTTATATTTGACATTTGAGAAATGTTACTGACATTAGCCATGTATACTTTATCATATTGAAAAAAATATATACCGTTTCCTTTGATTATGATTTACCAACTATATTTTGTACAAACTGAACAAAAAATATTCAAACGGTTACTGTAGCATTTTGTAAATGTAAAATGTTGGGCCCCAATAGGCGCTCATATCTTGCGATAGTTCTACCCAGTTGCCATAGTTACCTAGAATTTAAAAGATATATATATATATGAAAAACTGGAGACCGCCCTTGTTAAACATGTGCAGAACTTAATATAATGTTAATAACAATGATTTTAAATATTTTCCGAAAATTGATGTACTTGCATGCATAAATTTACAGCAATTATTACAGACTCAAATACTTGGGTGATGCCAGATGTGAGGCATTGATGAAATTCATGAAATTTTACTGGATTTTTTTTTTAAGAATAAAACATCTATTTTAAGATAACTATATTTAAAAATTACTATATGACCTTGTCAGTGTGTGACCAGTTTAAATCCTGACCAAAATCATCATTCCAAACATTTCTAGATATACGGCACAAGTTTGAAAATAAGGATATTCTTTACATCTGAAGGCATGCCCAGTAGAAACTGTATAAAGTTTTTGATCTGTAATAATTTCAGGGGTTTTTACAGTTAACAACATAATAACTGTAGAAACTTCACAAGTTAATGCATTATGTGTGATTACATTATATTTATATTATTGTTGATCTTTATTGACTATTTATGAATACTATAATTGGGGATTAACCTGACATTTTTTATGTAGGGCTATTTGTTACCTTAGTGCAATAACAGGTTAACTCCTATTATATAAAGAGTTAACCAGTTACTGCACTAAGGTGACATATTGTATTTGCTTGTGATACTTTCTACATACAATTCATTGGAAATATGAATTTTGGAGTATATGTATATATATTTATATATTGTACTCTTTTTACCCATTACCTTTATGGGCGTAAGTTAAACTGCTGAATTTGTTCATTGGATTTGCCCTGGCTTAAATTCAGAGTTAAAGGATTTTAGTATCAAAATATTAAAATATGGCTACTTTAAAAAGTCTTTATAATGAATTTATAATACTGCAGTATTTCCTTCTTTGATGAAAATAAAAACAAACTTGTATATTCCCAGTGCATAGATAATATACGTCACAATTTAAGGGTTGATCGCAAAACTGTTGTAAGTCTTTTTATATGCCCAAAAAAATTTCGGGCATATTATGTTATACCCCCTGGCGTGCGTCCGTCTGTCTGTCTATCTGTCTGTCCGTCCGTCCGTTAGCAATTTGGTTTCCGGAGCATAGCTTAAGTTCCATTTGGCCCACAACATTCAAACTTCATAGAATGATTGCCCATATTGGGTAGAATACCCCTATTGATTTTGGGGTCACAAGGTCAAAGGTCAAGGTCACTATCACCTTAAAACTGAAAACAGTTTCCGGAGCATAACTTAATTTCCATTTGGCCCACAATATTCAAACTTTATAGGAGGATTGCTATTGGAAGGAGGTAATACTTTATTTAATTTATGTAATGTCTTACAAATGCTTCATCCTTAATATAAAAAAAACAACTTTGGGGCATATAATGCTCCGCCTAGCGGTGCTCTTGTTTATTTCAGTTGTGCAGTCAATCCTCAGATTGTCCATAAAAATTTGAAATCACAAATGAGCATTATAATAATTTTATTTTTTAATGGTTTTTTTATGCCACCGCAGCATCTGCGATGCGGTGGCATATAGCGATTCACCTGTGTGTGTGTGTGTGTGTTTGTTTGTTTGTGTGTGTGTGTGTTATATAGATTATATAGTGAACTTAAAAAATCTTCTTGTGAAAAACCACTAGTCCAATTTCAACCAAACTTGGCAGGATTTGATCCTTGGGTGAAGGGGTTTCCAAAGTTGTTCAAAGAATTTCATTCCATGCAGAAATCTGGTTGCCATGGCAACCAAAAAAGAATTAAAAGAATAAATTTAAAAAAATCTTCTTGTAAAGACCCAAAAGGCCTAGAGCTTAGATATTTTGCATAAGGCATTGTCTGGTAGACCTCTACCAAGATTGTTCAAATTATAGCCCTGGGGTCAAAATCGGCCCGGCCCCGGGGGTCATTGATTTTCACTATATGTACATATAGTAAAAACTTAAAAATACCTTCTTGTAAAGACCCAAAAGGCCTAGAGCTTAGATATTTTGCATAAGGCATTGTCTGGTAGACCTCTACCAAGATTGTTCAAATTATAGCCCTAGGGTCAAAAATTGCCCCTGCCCCTGGGGTCATTGATTTTCACTATATGTACATATAGTAAAAACTTAAAATACCTTCTTGTAAAGACCCAAAAGGCCTAGAGCTTAGATATTTTGCATAAGGCATTGTCTGGTAGACCCTTACCAAGATTGTTCAAATTATAGCCCTGGGGTCAAAATCGGCCCCGCCCCCAGTGTCATTGATTTTCACTATATGTACATATAGTAAAAACTTAAAATACCTTCTTGTAAAGACCCAAAAGGCCTAGAGCTTAGATATTTTGCATAAGGCATTGTCTGGTAGACCCTTACCAAGATTGTTCAAATTATAGCCCTGGGGTCAAAATCGGCCCCGCCCGGGGGGTCATTGGTTTTCCTTATATGTATATAGTAAACACTTATAGTAAAAACTTTTAAAAAATTTCTTCTAGCAATTGACAAATGCTAGAGGTTAGATATTTTGCATGAAACATTGTGAAGTGAACTTCTAGCAAGATTGTTGTTGAATTATAGCCCTGGTGTCAAAATTGCCCCCGCCCCAGGGGTCATTGATTTTAAATATAATTATATATATATAGTAAAAAATCTTATTGTCTGAAGGTACAAGGCTTAGAGCTTTAATATTTGTTAAATGATATCATCTATAGGAACTCTACCAAATTGTTCAAATTTTGCTTCTTAGTGTCAAAATTAGCCCCGCCCATAGGTTTTCCTTATATGTATATAGTAAAAAATTTAAAAAAATCATTTTCTCTCAATTTACAAAGGCTAGAGTTAAGATATTTTGCATGAAACATTGTGTAAGGAACCTCTAGCAAGATTGTACAAATTATAGCCCTGGGGTCAAAATTGGCCCCACCCCCAGGGGTCATTGATTTTCACTATGTACACAAAGTAAACAAATAAAAAATATTTTTGTCTGAAGGAACAAGGGATAGAGCTTTGATGTTTGCTATATAATATAATCTATAGGTCCTCTACTAAAGTTGTTCAAATTTTTCCCCTGGTGTCAAAATTGGCCCTGCCCGGGGGCAGTGATTCTCATTATGTACACATAGTAAAAACAGAAAATAAAACAAATGTTTTCTGAATGGGAGAAAGCTACAGCTTAGATATTTGACTTGAAATGTTGTTTGGTGGACCTGTATCAAGATTGTTTTGAATTAAACCCTTGGGTCCAAATTTTGCCTTGCCAAAGGGGACAGTGACCTACTTTCTTGTCCTTTGATGTACAGCAATGAAATTTTGACCATGTGCACAGTTTTAGTTGTAAAATTGAACTTTGATATCAGGTGACCTAGATTTTGTTGATGTGACCTACTTTCTTGTCCTTTGATGTACAGCTATGAAATTTGAACCCTGTGCACAGATTAAGATGTAAAGTGAACTTTGATTTCAGCTGACCTAGATTTTTACAAAGTGTCTTACTGTGTTGTCCTTTTGATGTAGTCATGATATTTAGGCTGTGTGAAATAGGCTTCACCACCAAATTCACTAAACTCGAGTGCATTGATATATTCCTACTCTGATCTTTTATTGAGTTAACATTAGATTTAACCACTTATCTGATAATAAGAATAAGATAGGTCAGGGATCTATGCTTTATGACAATCTTCAAAATTGTAAAGAAACAAAAAAAATCTGTTCCTACACTACTATTTAGTGTTGTATTAATGCGGTGGCATAGCATTTTTCTCAAATGCAATCTTGTTTACCCTTTAAGATTGATCAAATGTTAGGATATGTTTTTAATTTATAAGGAATCAAATGAAACAAGTTATAATTACAAGTTGGATTAATGTATTAATAAACTGCACTTTATTCTGTTACCCTACACTATACCTTTTTACCCTCAAGAACCAATTTTTTCTGGCATGGTCGGCTTGAATGGGACCCCACCACATCTTCCGGGCGATATGTTCGTGAAAATTGTCGCCCGTTATATGTAAGTATGGTAATCCGTGGAGTTGTGCCCCTTGACATGTTTTAAGAAAGAAAGAAGAAATCTTGGCTGAAAAATGAGCGTGTATACATTTACCCTGTTATTATGTTATGATTGTATTGTTTTTGTTGTCTTGTACACCTATTGTAATATGTCAGTATGCATTTTGTTTCAGTTTAAACATAACAGGTGCTTGTTTAATTGATTCTCTATGTAAACTCTCAGTTTTGTCTGAAACCACATGAACAAAACATGATCCTTGTATACTGACCATTTGTTATACTCCTTTGTTCAAAGTTAAGCAAATGTAACAGAAATAAAGTGCTGGTGGTATAAATTAAGGAAAAGAAAATGTTTGGCAAATATGGCAGTTCTAAATGCTCTGGTAAAGTATGTACTATTAAGTGTAAAAGCCTACCTGATGAAGTTGGTGACACAGGGCTGACTGTGGACACCATATTTTAGTTGCCATTAATTGTGATAATAAAAAGCACCTGTTATGTATTATTTTATAGAAATGAATAGACTAGTCTGTTCTGTCTGTTCTTTTATATGACAGATTGTTTCCATCGTTTAAAGTTTTATATTATTTAGGACTTTATAGAAAAACTATTCCTTATCTATTGTTAAGATTATTTATGTTATTAAATTTTATCTGAAATCATTTAAACGAATCAAATTTGGTATTTGAAAGGGGAGCAACTATTGTTTGTAAACCAGGGGCAATAACTCATTTTTGTGTACCAGGGGCAATAACCCATATTATGGTTTATGTTCCAAGGGAAACAACCAATGTCTCAAGGGTCAACAAGTTTAACTATGCAATGGTTTTTCTGTTAAGTCTTGTATAATATAAAGAGTTAATCTTAAAGCAAGATTACAGTTTTCCAGGTATCATACTTGTATAATGTTTTACTAAAACACTGGACGTGTATGTTATTGTAAAAGCTGAAATCTTGTATATTTATCAGTTGTTAACAAGTTGTGTTATTCAGTCTTAAAGAGACAGTAGTAAAACAAGCAAACAATTCAAACTAAAATTGCCAAAGTAAAGAAAAATAGAGGAAATTTAACAGTTATTATATTGATAATTGTGAAAATGATAATGTGACCATTTTTGTTAAGTTAAAATGCAAAATATATAGAGGATATTTGTTTGTTTCAGTGCAAGATCGAAAAATATTTCACCGAGTGAACACCAGATGCAATATTTTCCACTAGTGGCGTAGCCACGAGTGAAAATATAATAGCTGGGGTTCACGAGTGAAATATTATTTGATCTCACATGTAAAACAAACAAATTTTCTGTTTATTTCATGATTTTTTAACGATTTTTACACCATTTTACTAATTTTTGCCGCGTAACGTCATGCTCTTATCTTCATGACGTCATCAAATAATGACGTCACAATGTTGAAGCAAAATATAATTCCATGATTATTTTTAGATTTTAGATGTTTTTCAGCACAACGTTCGTAAATATTTACGAACTACAGTTATCACGTACATTTTTTATTATGATTGACTACATTTCCGCTGAAAAAACATTCATTAATGATAAATATTTTATTTTTACGCCAAATATAGTTCGGCTACTGTGAAATTATATTTGGTAATCATTACTGTGAAATTATCAGAATATAATTAACCGTTATAATTCAGTAATCTACTGCAAAACATGTAATAAATTACACTGTTCTCTGGCCACTTTAAGCAAAATATAGAAATGTTTTACTAAAAATGTATATTACTGTTGATACTTCAGTGACTGGATACTGAGCACCTTGTTAACAATTGAAATTAGCATGTTTATAGAAGTTTAAACTGATCTTAGTTTTGAAATAAAGAATTGCATCAAAATTAATTTTGAGAAATAAAAGGACTCAAATTTTGCTACCCAAGACTTTTTATATTTTGATTTTTCATTTTTTTGTGACATAATATTTTGATATTCTTTACCAATTTAGGGTAGAGCATTATCAATATTCTTTATTTCATAAATGTTCAACTGAAGTCAACAACAAACCTGCCAAGGTGCAATTTCATGCCTGAGGTGTCTTCCTCCACCAGTAAAGCTGGAAAGTCATAATATGATCTATACTGTGTTGTTTCGACATAAAAAAAAAACCCAACCCCCCCAAAAAAAAACAGAACAACAAACCTATACAAGACAGCTGCTTATGATGGACCCTGAAAAGTTTTGAGCAAACATAAAGTCATTATTTCAAACACTACACCAGTGAGGCGTAATTTCTCCATGACATTTAGTCTAATGGTCATTTGTCTCTCCCTGCTGAATCAGAAATTATATCAGATAAGTAGTTGGTCACTTGCAAAGAAATTGATAATAACTGGTTAGTTATCCAGGAAAGTCTGCTAAATAAAAAAAAATATTCAAAGGTCAAGGTCACTGAATGAGGAAAATCTCAAACCATTTACCAAGGCCGTTGATTTATTTAACTTTTGTCAAAGCCATATCTAGAAGCTTCGTTTGGCATTTATGATATTCTTGGCTTGATTTTTGTCAGAGAAAATATCTAGATGTGAATTATATAATAATGATGAAATAGAAACAGACTTCAGTTGGACAGCTAGGAGATTGTGTGTGCGTGTATTATATAGAAGTATAGAGTCAAGTATGTGCATGGCCTGCTTATTTGTGAGAGCATGATTGTTGACTGGCTTTCTGTTATTTATTTTTTACCTCATGAAGAAAACAAAAGTACTTCAATGATGAATACAAACTGGACTGGAACACACGTAGCTCAGCAGGGCGGTATGTCAGAGATAATTGTTCACCACTCAAGGTACGTAACTCCTCCCTCATCATTGGCTTATTACAATAATGCTCCCACAATGCACTGGTTTTTAATGAAACACAAAATCATGCCTTAGTTACAGAATTTTACCTGTAAAAGTTACTTGTACAGGTATATTTGATAAGAAAAATATTTGAAGTTTTTGTCTTCTTTTAGTGTCAATTGTTTTCAATGATGGAAACTTACCAGTAATAAAAAAAAACTAAAATTTTGAAGTGTTTGTTAATCAAAGTATATAGAATTCATTGATGCAAAATAAATAACACGTTAAAGAAATAGACTGATGATGAGTTAATATCTTTATACAATCATGATTACATGATTGAATTTCTGAAGTTTGAACATGACGGTGCATTTACAGCATTAGTGTAAAAGTGTTGTTTTTCTTGATGTATTTGGTTATTTTATGTTTATATATATATATATATATATATCTGTTGTACACTGGGCCTACACTATAAGCTTTATACAAACTACACACATACATGTATATACCTCTCATCTTGCACAGCTTTTTATACAAGTTCAGCCAAGACAACAAAATTTATTAAAGTTTGTTAAAGCTTTCAGTAGTAACTGGTAGACAGCGAAAGTTTACACTGACTTAAAAAAAACTATATAAAGTATGTAACCATAATGAATTAAGCCAGATGGCACAATTGTACAATTTAATTACCAATAGATATAATACTTTTATCAAATCTAATTTGATATTTAGATTTTGACATTCGTGATCGTGAACCTTTTCCATTCTAAATTCATGATTTAGCTACATTTATATCTATGCTTGAACTACGTTGTTCCAACCTATGTCTCTAGTTTCAACAAACCAATGTTTGTTCTTATGACCTACATCTGTTTTTCTAACAAACCAGTGTCTGTCGTTTAGGGCGAGGTCAGTTGTTCCAGCCTATGTCTAGTGTATGATCTACATTTATTGACACGGCCTACATTGATTGTTCCAACCTACATTTTGTTGTTCTGACTTACATTTTGTTGTTCTGATTTAACATCTGAACTGTGTATGAAAAATGTGTAGAGAGCCGGTGTAGACAGTTGGTGTTATTATAGTGCTAGAGGAGAAGTTGTGTTGTGTTGCATGTTGAGTTGTTCTTGAGGCTGCTGTCCTATACCGTGTTGTATGAAAGCTTTGTAGTTGCTGCGTGACAACCTGACCCCCTTGTTGTTGTATATAGACAAGTTGCTTACATTATTCAGTCTTCTCATTGTTTCATTGTATTCAATACCATTTACTTTTATAAAACAGATAACAAAAAAAAAGAATATATATTTATAGAAAATAATTGTAAAAGAGGAAGAAAATACATATCAAGATGTGTTCTTTTGAAGTACTTTAGATGAAAATGAATATATTTGTTAAATTTTTAATTTATATTAACTGTTTCTTACAAAAAAATGTAATGTAATTAAATGAAACAAGAAACGCGAATTAGAAAACAGAAAATATCAAAAGCGTCGGGTTAATATACCGAGAAGTTACTAACAGGACTTGGTATCGTTATACATTATAAAGATAGCGTAAGCATATTGTTACAAGCATGGCATTTTAAGCATCATGAAAAATTTACTACAATTGTATTTTTTAAGCTTTTGCTCAAAGCAACTAACTGCCTTTATTCTTTTAATTTCTTGTGATCTACTGCTTTTAAAAAATACACATTTAGATGTAAAAGATATGGTAAAAGGTGGACAGTACAGTAAATGAAATAAAAAATATATTTTTTTAATCGAAGGACTAATATTTCAGTATAAGGAATGGACTATAGTGTTAGTTATAGAAAAATACTTTAATTTTAGTTAATGAAATAAGCTATAATTCCCACTTCCTGTGAAAAAAAAAATTGATTAAAGATTCTTGAGTATAAATGTAGAATAGTCAAGTTCAAAGGTAGTCAGTAAAGAGGAAATGTGTTTGATTCTTGCCTTATTTTCAGCATTATCTAAAAGACAAAGGCCCGGAACATTTACTTCTCTTTGACCTCATTGAAAAAATGCTAGATTACGATCCAAGTAGTCGTATATCAATGAAGGAAGCGAAACGGCACCAGTTTTTCCAGTCGCTGCACAATAAGGCCGAAGATGAGGCTGAAGAGGCTGCCCGTGCCGCGGCTCAAGCTGCCGGAACCAACGGAAACCCAAAGCTTCTAGCTTGTGGTGACCTAGCTAGTAACCCCATTGTAATTGATGAAAGTTCTTGTGAATCTGAAAAAGGACTTGCTGGGTCAAATGGAGATGCGTAAAATTGTGTAAACCTTGCCCCCCTTCGTTCAAAACAAAACAGGTGAAAAACTCACTGCCTGGCTTTGCTTGTATGGATGTGTAGCTAACTATTATATCCTGTTGTTTTTTTTTTTTTTGTATCCAAGAGCTTCTTATTTATTTTCTGTTTAGTTTCCTGTATTTCTCTTTGTTCTTTTCTCACCTTGGCTTGTTTATCAGGTAACTGTGTAGGAGAGAGGGTCGTATACAGAAATGTCCGTGCATCTGTTACATTGCAAGTGAAATGTGTGTTCAATGGTAGAAATAATTGTGATTTAAGTCAATTTTCTGTTTATCCTTGCGTGAACATAGGAGGCGAATAAATTGGTTCCAGTTACTTCAGTCTGTGCATTTCTTAGCTCTAGCAGGTAGGTTTTTACCCCTGATGTTGCTTTGAAGTTTGTAACACCCAAGGTTAGCCAAAATCGTCTTTCCTTTTTTCTGCACCATATGACTTATACTATGTCGGTGCGTTGTAAAATCAAACAATGAAACAAACAAAATATCATCTTATGTAGAAAAGCTGCAATATAAATCACTATAATAACTTACCTATTGCAACTGCATAGCGTTAGTTTCAGCCAGGTCAGCATTAAACTGATGACTGCTTTATTTGAACAGTTTAGTATTATATTCCTCACATTAACAATGTAGCTGGCTTAGCTCAATTATGAAGAGAATCTGATTATTTATCCAGGGATCACTGGTGAGATCAACAGGCACGGCAAAATTGATCTCAAACGTATAGTCTCAAAGTTTCTTGTCTCTCATGGCCAATTCAGAAACCATTTAGGAGTAGCAATCGGTCACTTGGGGAGAAATTCATAATTACTGGTTAGTTATCCAGGAATTACATGGGTGAAAGTTTTCAGGAATATTCCTGAAGTTCAGGATTTTCAATCTCCTGAAAGCCTTCTATTTCCTATGTAAATCTATAGAATAACTGCTAAATTCAGGATTTTTAGGATTTTTAAAATTTCCAACTTTCACCCAAGAGGAAAGCCGGTTAAATTGACGACATCCAAGATATGATCAAAATAGAAATATAAGATTCAGTGTAATATCAGAAAACAAACGAACAGGCTTAAAACTGGGAATTTCTTTGTTACTAAGGAGCAGATAACAGGTCATACTTAAATATACAATGTATGTTTACCTCCCTTTTCTTCTTTATCACCATTATTATTAGTCATAAACAATAGAATAATTGTTGTATTAGACACTAGGATATGATATTAATACACCTTAATCTCAAAGAGTTGATAATTGAGTGATCATCAGGTATATATACCTGTAATATACCTCAATATGCTTTTACACTCCTTAACAATGTGAGAACATCAACAAATCTTCAGGTCATATCTAATAACTCTTTGTTGTACCTCTACTGTATTTATGTATACTACGTATTGATGTAATATATATAAGAAATTCACGAGATAAATGACAAGACAAGTTATAGGGTGTGATATCTTAGTAATGTCGGGATCTTATATTTAAGATATAGCATTCTGTATTATATACTTTTAGAGTGACTTTTACTGCCCTCACAGTTTATCATACAGATTTTAGGTAGAAGTCCAACCTGCCCTCACAGTTTATAATACAAATTGTAGGTAGAGGTTCAACCTGCACTCATAGTTTGTGATCATACAAATTTTAGGTAGAAGTCCAACCTGCCCTCATAGTTTGTTATCATACAAATTTTAGGTAGAAGTCCAACCTGCCCTCATAGTTTATAATACAAATTGTAGGTAGAGGTTCAACCTGCAAATTGTGGGTAGAGGTCCAACCTGCACTCATAGTTTGTTGTAGAGGTCCATCCTAGCTTCATAGTTTGTTAAACAAATTGTGGGTAGAGGTCCAACCTGCACTCATAGTTTGTTGTAGAGGTCCATCCTAGCTTCATAGTTTGTTAAACAAATTGTAGGTAGAGGTCCAACCTTCCCTCATAGTTTGATGTAGAGGTCCATTCTAGCTTCATAGTTTGTTAAACAAATTGTAGGTAGAGGTCCAACCTTCCCTCATAGTTTGATGTAGAGGTCCATTCTAGCTTCATAGTCTGTTAAACAAATTGTAGGTAAAGGTCCAACCTGCACTCATAGTTTGATGTAGAGGTCCATTCTAGCTTCATAGTTTGTTAAACAAATTGTAGGTAGAGGTCCAACCTGCACTCATAGTTTGTTAAACAAATTGTAGGTAGAGGTCCAACTTGCCTACATAGTTTATAATCATACAAATTGTAGTTAGGCCCTCTACCTGTTCTTTTAACTTGTAATTATACAAATTGTAGGTATACTTCCAGCTTGTGCTTGCAGTTTGCAATCCTACATATCATAGTAAATAGGCTTGTAGTTTGTAATTATACAAAATCTAGTTAGCCCTTCAAACTGTCCATGTTGTTTGTAATCAAACAAATTGTAGTTAGGCATTTAACCTACCCTTGTAGTTTGTAGACATGTAAGTTGATGTCAGTTTGCCCCCATGCCTCTGTTATGTGAAACAGAAATCCATGTATACTGACATTGATATAATCAATAACAAGTGATTTTGTAAGAGTACGGAGCTATTTTCTATGAGTTGGGGATTATTTAATAGAAGGTGGCTATTATCTTAGTGTTTCTAGTTGTAGGGAACTACTTGTTCTATGAGTTGAGGATTATGTTCTAGAAGAACACTATTATATAAAGAGTGCGGGAACTATTTTCTATGAGTCAGAAACTATTTTCTAGGAGTAGGGGTACTAGTTCCTGTAGTACTTTCTAGGTATTAAGGGGATTATTTTCCAGAACTATTTTCTAAGGGTATTCATACTGTATCCTGCATGTTGCTTGTAGATGCTCATTCATATTGGTACTATTTTGCCCCATTCTGTTTTTGGTTTTTAGAACTTGGCTTCTGTTATCTTGTCTCGCCTTTCTGCACACTACATTTGTATAACCAGAGCCTTGTACTTCTATCTTGATTTATTATTGTACCACTTGTAACTTTCTGCAATCAGTGCTAGATCCGTAATACAAAAACAACAACACTTCACTGTCCCCCTCTCTCTTTCTTGCTGGCATGATTGTTTCAACATTATCTATTATAAGCAGTTTTGTTAAATGCATGTGTATAATTATATATATATATTGTCTTATAACATTATTTTAATAATTGACATCTGTTAACGTTAATCAGTATTTGGGATTAATCATTCGGGGCATGTCTATGTTCATGATATAATTATAATACATGTGTGTAGCTTAGAATAAGCCGGGCAAATTTTGGCTCTCTGCCAAATGCATGGTCTTACAGATCTTACAGCACAGAAGATTTTAGAAGTGTCTCCTAACTGCATTTATAAGTTTGTGTACAAGTTTGTGTACAGAGGATTTATTGATATAAATTTCATTGCAATTGTCATCTCATTATTACATTTATTATAATAAACATATCATGTATCATTCATCACTTGCAGAGGAATTGGTACATGTAATAACTAGATCATAACAACTTGTTGAGATGGTAAAAAACCAGAATCCATGTCTGATTTATACAGTTTTAAATTATAAGACTGTTCTTCAAATAACAAAGATAACTTATGGCCGAGGTGTAAAGTTTGGTTTTCAGAAGAAATAAAGATACAGGCTTTGGTGGTTTATTTTTTTGGATCAGGAAGAAATAATGTCATATCTTTAAATGTAACAATTAAAGTGAGTTGGTCTACAATGGAAGGTTTGTTATCCACTGGAAAATTATGTAGATAGTATTTAGTATTACACATAATTACAACCAGGAAACAATTATATATGGAAGTTGTTGGCAAGTGTCTATTGTTTTCATCATTGTTTGAATTACTGATGGAAAATGTGCCCATTGTAGACCTATCCAAACTTGTATTGTATGACACAAAAACATAATGAAATAGTGAAATATTGATGTGAATAAATGTACTTTATACTATTATAGTCTTAACATTTATTTTCTAAAATGCAACATTCTTTGTCAGATAATTAACAATATGGCTAAAATATAAGCTTGGTTTCTGGTTTCCCTACATACCCTCAATTTTAACTGTCAACTTTTGACTTTACACCTTTCTGTGTTTTTCAAGATATTTTCTTTACAAAATAATTCTTTATTACGTAAAAAAAATATTGAATAAAAAGAAGAAGAAATTACTAACTACTTTATACAGCTGGTGAGAGACTATATATAGAACTATTATTTAATCATTATATTTGAATGTACAAATAATTAGGTTTTTGTTTATTTTCAGCGTTATATAAAAGACCCATACAATAAAGATCATGAAGACTTGTTTAAATTGATCGCTGCCATGCTAGAATACGAACCATCGAAGCGTATCACTCTAAAGCACGCCCTACGTCACGACTTTCTAGTCCCTTACTACACATCTAGCCGAGATCGCTCACACCTGCTACAGGACATCGATGACAATGAACCTCGGAAACAACACGGTTCACGATATAATGACTGTACTAGCAGCGAGACTAACGGCAGTACTTGATAATTACACTGGTGCCTAGCCTCTGTATGTCCCTCAATGTTTACAGGGTACCGGTATATACTTGTACCCCGAACTAATTTTTAGAATGTGTTTGTCTAGTGGTAAACTGTTGCTATTTTGGTTGAGTTTATATGTGTTACTTTTTAAAAGTATTTTATATAAGTAATGTTTAAACCTTGTTTGAACATATTTTAAACATTATCAGTATGATGCTGGGATGGTAAACATTCTGGTGTGATGATTTTTTTCTTTTTATCAGGTTTAGTGCTTTATATAATTCCTGTAACACATACTTCTCACCTACATACTTTTATCCTAATTCACAGAAAAACAAGAGATTAACACTTGATTATGTGTATACAATACAAATACGGAAAATTTCATAAATATTTCATGCCTTGTACCTATATATACAATGTATATTGACATAAAAAGCTCATTGTGATGTGTGCATGGTCAGTTATTTGTCGTGTATCACAGTGTGGCGAGGGTTACTATGGTGACCAAATACTAGATTAAACCAATGCCTACATTCTGATGATATTATAAATTTCTCAATGTTTTCTTTTTATGGTGCTATATATATATTTGTGTATTTGTTTAAAATAGTCGCTGCTTGGGAATGAATCTTTTGTCGAAAAAAAAAAAAATCAAGAATTTGCAGAAATGATCATGATTTTTTTTTTGGCAAACACATGTTCATTTACTACATATTGTATAACTCTCAAACTTTTACAGGAAAAAACTTGTAATGATGACAAATGTTAGCACATTGTAAAGAACATTGGTCATAGTATTCATGAGATTTTACGAGTTTATTTTAATCATATTTATGCCTAGATCACGTGTATATATGAAAAAAATTTGCTAGATTTTAGAATGGGAGGCAAATCAGGACATTGTTAAATTCTAGAAAGGGAGACAAATAACCTTTGATTAAACTGTTTAGAAGGGGAGAGAAATCCCTGCAATATCAATTTTTTTAGAAAGGGGAGGTAATTATATAGAATAATTGACAAAATCAAAATATTTATTTACATATGTATATTATTTTTCACATATGAATGTGGGGAAACAGTTCGAGGTATTTGTATGAACATCAGAATGTTGTTGTGAACATAATCTTTGTTGTTGTTGTTGTTGGTACATGTTCTTCAGTCCTGAAATGGTGATATTTTTGCAGGTCTATGTCTTTTGATAAATCTTCTATCATGAGAATTTTTAAAATTCAGTAACTTAATTAGTTATGTATGGTTTTAAGATTTAAACAGATTCCAAAAGTAACGTTTAGTTTGTAAAAAAATTTGAATAGCATAATCTTATGCCACTGAAATGTGGGGCTCTGAAAGACTGTACCTTTTTAAAAAGAGATGAATTTTTTATATGGAAATAAAAATTTGGCATATTGTTAGGAAGACAAACTGGCTTAAGTATATGGAGAGCATAAAAAATGAATGTATTTACAGTAAGTTAAAACACTATAAGCCAACCTTTTGTTGATGTGCTTGAAAATAATTTTAGGGTTAAAGTGGACTATGTTAAGGGAATGGATATAACCATATTTTGTAAATATGTAAATCTTTTTTTTTTCTTTTTTGCTTGTACATAATTGAAATGATGAAATTGTTTTTATTTATACAGTGCAATTGGCAGGCAACTCAGAGTTTGTGACATTTTTTTTTTAAATTGTTTAAATGTGCTTTGTGTTTTTTGTGGCATGTGAAAGAGTGGAAACAAATTTTTTGGCACTTTACTTAAAACAGATATTAAACTGATTGTTAAGAAAATATTGAACGTAAGATGTGCATATGATTTTATATGTGTTTAGAAGATACGGTTTTCTTTCAATATGATAATATGATGGTAAAATGTTGATGGAGCGGACTTTATTGTATGATGTTTAAAATGGCGGACTTCAACTTAAAATGAAGAATGTATGGAGGTGTAAAACTGTAGTATATACATGACATTAGAGTTACTTTCTGTCCGTACAGCATATGTAAACTAAACCAGCATATGAAAACCGTGCATATATTTTCTACTGCACCCATGTATGAACTAAGGTTTGCAATATTTATTCTATAGTATTTTATGATAAACAACATGTACTCTTCGCGTCAAGATATTTGTGTTGCAAAATTGTGTTTTTGAGAATAAGTACTGTGTGTGTAAGAAATGTTTTTTTTTCTTTTTTTCGGAAAAGGAGTTGCTCTTATATCATTAAAACTATTTGAAATCAGCTAATTGTGTTATGTTCTTGATTTGTTACCAGTGAAAGAATTATACCTTGAGTGTATTCAATGTTTACAAATGTCAATTACAAATATGTCCTATTTATTATACCCCCAATAGGAGTCACTCGGTGGTCGGTCGGTCCAGCGGTCCGTTGCATTTTCCTTGTCCGGAGCATAACTTCAAGACTAATGATTGGAATTCAATACAACTTCATACAATGATCAAGCACATTGAGAGGAAGTGCAGTGCACAAGAACCATAACTATCTTGACTAATTACAGAGTTATTGCCCTTGTTACTTTTCCTTGTCCGGAGCACAACTTGAAGACTAATGGTTGGAATTCAATACAACTTCATACAATGATCAAGCACATTGAGAGGAAGTGCAGTGCACAAGAATCATAACTCCATCTTGACTAATTACAGAGTTATTGCCCTTGATACTTTTCCTTGTCCGGAGCATAACTTGAAAACTACTAATTGGAATTCAATTCAACTTCATACAATCATCAAGCACATTAAGAGAAAGTGCAGTGTACAAGAACCATAACTCTATCTTGACTAATTACAGAGTTATTGCCCTTTGTTACTTTTCATTGTCCGGAGCATAACTTGAAAAGTACTGGTTGGAATTCAAAACAACTTCATACAATGGTCAAGCACAATAAGAGGAAGTGCAGTGCACAAGAACCATAACCCTGTCCAGAGTAATTATAGAGTTATTGCCCTTTGTTACTTTTCCATTGTTTTTTTCTTGTCCAGAGCAAAACTTGAAAACTACTTGTTGGAATTCAATACAATTTCATACAATGGTCAAGTATATTGAGAGGAATCTCAGTGCACAGAAACCATAACTCTTTCTTGACTCATTTAAGAGTTTTTGCCCTTTGTTACTTTTCATTGTCCAGTGCATAACTTGAAAATTAATAGTTGGAATTCAATGAAACTTCATACAATGGTCAAGGGCAGTGAGATGAAGTGCAGTGCACAAGAACCATAACTCTTTTTGGACAAATTACAGTTATTGCCCTTTGTTACTTTTTTTTATCCAGTGCATAACTTGAAAACTAGTAGTTTGAATTAAATACAACTTAATACAATGGCCAAGGGCAATGAGAGGAAGTGCAGTGTACAATAACCATAACTCCATCTTCAGTATTTGTAGAGTTATTGCCCTTTGTTCCTTTCATAACTTAAAAAACTAATGTTTAGAATTCAATGCAACTTCATACAATGGTTAAGCGCTATGAGAGGAAGTGCAGTGCTCAAGAAGCGTAACTCTTTCTGGCCTTATTACAGAGTAATTCAATAAAACTTCATCATTAGTCAACCACATACAAGAACCACAACTATCTTTAATTGCCCACAATCATAATTCTATTTCAATTCTTTTGCAAGGTATTCTGTTACTAGTAACTTCCTCATTTCCGAAGCAGTCTTGTAGGGGTATTAATCACATTTAGTGATTCCTGTTTTCTACAATAATGGCTACATTCATTTAGGACACGCGATAGCCTTACTGTTTCCCGGCCGCATAGCTCTATAGGGAGAGTATCTGATTTGTGAACATGGGACAACTTGTAATACAGGGGTTACAGGTTCGATCTTCAGGCATTTCGACTTGATCTCGGACATTATGTGTCTCTCACTGATAATTCCGAAATCATGTGGGACTAGTCGGTCATTTGCAGAAAAAAAGGTAATTACTGGGTAGTTATTACCAAACATTTGCTGAGATTGACGGGAAAAAAACAACAACAAAACTTTCTTATAGCATCTTCGTTTTATTGAGTATAAATTGGTGGAAAGTATTCTAGAATACAGAATTTTCAGACGCCCCAAAATGACATATACTTTTCTACATAAAAGTATGTAATATAAACAATTGCTAGATGCAACATTTTGGGATTAAATTAAATGTACAACGATGCTGAAAAGACTTAGACGGACCTCTCTGTTACTTATTCCATCGTGTAGTTGAACCTACCACCGAGATAATGACCATACACGTTTAAATCTGCGTCAAAATCCAGCAACGAAAACATCCACTAGGAGTATTTTCAGGTGGATTTGGCCATGGTCATTACGGTTTAAGGTTATGTATATAAACATAGACAGACAATCAAGTTGATTCAACGTCACAAGGATAAGTATATATGAATGGGTTTACATTACACACCTGCCTAAACTTATCATCATAGTGTATATATTTCCATCATTGAATTGTGATGATAAGCTTTCTTGAAAATCGGTAAGTTCGAATAAGTAAAACATATATATAATTACACTTCTGTACTGTTATGAATGATATTCCGTCTATATTAATAAGCTTTTGTTTTTTTACAACAACAATCTCTTATTTTCCAGTCAGTTTACAATAGTAACAACATGACATATAATCAATATAAGTTTCAAACAGTATGTAGGTTTAAGTTGGGACTAAGTATGATTTTTCCAGGGGACAGTAAAATAGATTATGAAATATATATATATATACATAAATATTTATATATAGTATCGTCATATTGACTTAGACAATTACGAAAAAATTACTGTGGGTTGTTTTACTATTATAAATATAATTCTACATTACTGGACATTTTTAGATTGAATATGATTGTAATTTTACCGGGATATATATATATGAAAGATCCCACTGTCTGCTGTACCACCCGGTAGAACTTCTTTATTCCGTATTTAAGTGACTTTATGTCCATCTATGTGTTTACAAATGGTCATTGAACAAGTAAAAATTAAAAATAAGTTGATATTTCGTCATAATTATGTTCAATTTTACTATGAAAATAATAATCAATAATTCATGTTGCGGAAATTTCTATAAATAAACTTGAACAAGACTTTTTACAGACACGCCAACTTAAACCTACCCTATGGTTACGGTTCCTGGACGACATATTCATGATATGGGATCATTCTTTGGATGAATTAAATGATTTTGTCCAGGCCTTTAATGGATTACATAGCCTTCAATTAAATTCACTCTATGACATTTCACTGGATTCATGTTTCATTTCTGGTGTCAATGTTCTAAAGACAACAGGAATAATATTTGTACCAATGTCCATGGTTAAAAAATACCAACAATCCACAATACCTGGATTACTCGTCCAATTCATCCCAAAACTTGTAAAAATGGTATTCCCATACAGTCAGGCTAAGCCTATCGTCCCGTATTGTATCGGACGATGACCAGTTTGCTAAGTTCACTGAGACAGTCTCCGTGAATTTTTCATTTTATGAGGTTTACCCTGAATAAGGTTTTATTGATGACGCATTTCGCGAAAGTACGTGGATTATCTCAAGATGAAGCCCTTGTATACACAACTAGTAACATCCTTCTGATGAAAGATTGTATTTTTATTATTGAATATAGTCCGTCTCTTCCCATATTGGCAGTTCGTAAAAAAATACTGGGATTTATTTAAGCTATCGCAAAATGCGTCAGTCAACATTTGCACGAAATACAGGGACCCGTGTTAGTCTATCAGCGTGGTAAAAATCTCAAAGATTTTCTTAGTCAGGATCTACATATCCCACAAAAATCCCCTGGCCCTGTAAACGCCCATTCTAGCAAATGCTCCAGGCCTAGATGTTCACATTGTACTAGGATAGTAGAAACTGATAAATTTAAAAGTTTTCTAATTCTTCTATATATCGCCTTAAATTTAATAACAGATTGTACATCCAATAATGTTTTATTTATTTAATATCTTGTACAAAAAATGCAACATGCAAATACGTTGGCCAAACTAAACAACAAGTGTCCAAAAAGAATGATAGTCACAGATTTGACATAAAGAATTTCAGTGACCCCTGGGTATGCCAGTGGTGTTGCAACACATTTTCAACACTACAGACCACAGTGTAGAAGACTTCAGCTTTTACCTATTGACATTGTTGACAATGACATGGACAGACTCGTCCGTGAAACATCTTGGATTCACAGACTTGATACTGTGTTTCCTTCTGGGCATGAACACCAGCGTGTATTGTTCAAATTGTAAATTTTAGTTGGCAATTTTAAGTATATATAGCAACTGTTTTTTTTAAAACTTTCTCCATGCATTTTTAATGTTTTGTCTTATTATTATATTTTACACTTTTCTTTCATTATTTTTTACTTATTTATATCATTTTTTTCATAAAAAATTGCATTTATTGTATGCAAAAATTGTCTATATCTTTGTACTTTTTGCTGTTTTATTACCTCCCTTTATTTTTGAAAAAATAATTTTCCCCCTTCTATTTTTTATGATTTTATTTTTACAAAATTAGTTTTACAATTCTCTTATTCATTTATTCTTTTTTATTTATTATTATTATTATTGGTGGTCTGTTATTATTATTATTATTATTTGATGTTATTTGATGATGATGATGATGATTATATGTAAAATGGATAATGTTGTTGTTATTATATTATTATTATTATATCTTTTTTATTATTCTAGATAACTTGCTGGCTAATTAAAGTAATGCTTTCTCGCTAATTCCCAGTGAATGTGTATAATTATATAAAATTATATGATATATTTTGACATATAGGTATGTTGGGTTTTATCATTTTTCTCTGCTTTATATTGTAGAAATATAGTTCTATTATTAATACCCGCTGTATCTTTTTGATCCATATCTATTTGTTAATTACTTTACATTCACGTTTTTGCGCAATTTTGTCACGTTGACGTTGGCGTCCTAACGGACGTGACGTCATATATTTTGTACGTTATTCTGATGAAGACAAAAGTCGAAACTAGTAAAGATTTTTTTTTAAAAATATGTGTTGTTTTGGTGTATTTTAACTGATATAAATATCTTTCAGAATATACGAGGGCGAAACAAAAAGTTCGTGGAATTAAGTCACAAAATTAAAACGCATTGTTTCAGCTTCATGGTTTTATGATATGACAATAAAAAATATACAATGAACAAACTTGCCAAATATTAGGTTGACATGACAACAAATATACAAATCCCGGTACGG